ATGCTTTTTGGGTGCAAGCGCTACAGGTGTCACCTCCGCGTGCGCTGAGCACTTACCGTGGCGGCTGAGCGGCGTTCGCGATTGATCGAGTGTGGCATTCGGTGCCCTGTGATGGACCGCGTGAGAGGTGCCCCGCTGATTTGTACCTTTTAGGAGGCAGACTTGGAGGCGTGGGCGCGTTAATATAATCAATGTTTTAGAGCCGTTCAGTTTTCTTCGTTCAGTTGGCACGGATTTGATATTCGCGACTGTGGGAGGGTTACGGCTGTAAATTAATTTCCCAGCAGATTGTTCAGCCAGCTTGTGATTTTTGTTTGGTTGTTCATGCGCGGCTACAAAGCGCAGTACCGCTTCGTGGGGAGCCAATAGTCGTCATCCTATCCAAAATGCTGACCCTGCCAGAGGAATGTGGAATTTCCACCACAGGCTCAGGGGGCCATGCTCTATTGAGATGACTCCGGTACTCGCTTGTACAGGCACGACACTTTGACTCGCTTTGAAAGTTCCACACATTTTGAACCCCAAATATCTGATCAACCATAATGAATGATCGTACAAACTCCATGCGCTGTTGCGCGGCTTGCGTCTCCACGTGTTAACACAAATGTGCATTTGTCCAAAGAGACCGGTGCACAGTTTGCTTGCTTCCTTCGATATTGCTCTGGACAGCCACACACGTTTCTTTCGAACTGCTCCCTTGTGCTGAGCTGTCAGCACGGTTTGGCTACGCGTGGCGCGAAAGAAGTTCAACGTACATGCAACGCAGCCCACGGTAAACACGGGACGTTGGCACGTTTGCCGGGAAGGCCGACGGGGCCGAACCGCATTTGTCTATTCCCGATGTGGAGGCGCGGCATCTCGCGCCACTTCTCCTAAATGTTGGATCCACCCGTGAAGTTTTACGAGGTGGAGGGGCTCGCGATGTTGTGCGCCGTCGCCGTACCAGCAAACTCCGCCCGTGCGCAGACCACTCCCGTCCTCTCTGCATTCTAGGAGGCCCGGGGGATCATTTCTGAAAACCGACCCACAGATGCGAAGAAGTTGCAAGAACGTCCGTCCAATTTTAGGGCGCAGCTATTTTCATTGACACAAGTTGCGTGGTCGCGGCGGCGGCGGCGGCGGCGCTGCGGTGCTAAACGCTTGTGGCAGTGGCTACTTCTACAACTACGGAATCGGGGTGTCTCCGTTGGGTTAGCAACACGATGTTCGCAAAAACATTCGCGCAAATGAAACTCCGCACGGTCGTTTTGCATGCGCACATAGAGAGGGCACCGTGGAAGTCCCACTCCTCATGCAAAGTCCGACGTAATCATCAGCAGCAGCAGCCATGACCTATCCACTGCTGGATGAAGCCTTCTCCAAGCCTTTTTTTATATCAAGGTTCAACAATCAATCGTGCTCCTGCGCAAGAGCCAATCTGGTCACTCCATCTCCGCAATGGACGACCTCTCGGAGAGAGTTCCCTCCGTCGGCCACCGCCGCTCTCGTCCAAATCCCTTCGAACTCTTCCTAGCCAAGGGGGGGCTGGGGGGGATCACAAACGGGAGGACGCCCGTCGTGGAGACAGAGCGATGAAATATTAGATCACGTGTGGGAGCGAGAGTCAGTACAGTGTGACTAGACCATGGTCGTGGCGTGGGGAGGTATTTCATCTAGCAGTGGATAGGACATGACGTATTATGGTGGACAATTAGAGGCTTTCATACCAGCACTGCTCTATATAAAGTGTTGAGAGGGTTTGTTTAGGAAATTAATAATTTGCCGATTACTCCATGGAGCAATAGGTAATTGTCTCGCATAACGTCATGCTTTAATCGGTTATGTTCAAAAGTAAGGTCATATTTTTTTTTTCTTAAACGCATGTTTATTAGTTGGTTGAAGTCACGGCACCCCGCTAAGTTCGTAACGTTTCGTAACGTGATCTGCGCATGGATGGGCGGCAGCTGTTCTTGCGTTCAGCCCCAGCCGCCGACACGCTCACAAAATAAAAGGTTACAGTAATCATGAAAATGTAATCAACCGATGCATCGTTCAGTGACGTTAATCTTATTGCATGCTAAAACATGAGAGTACAAATATGAAATTACCCATACCACCTGCTTCCTCTGCTAATTTGATAACACGCAGCCCATTAGTCGTGATCTTACCGGTAGCTTTGTCAGTCCACTGCCAGATGACAACCTCTCTTCATGCTGACGATGACCTCCTCTCTCCATGCTGGAGAGGAGGAGGTCATCGTCCGGGCGGTGTATGTCTGGTACTTAGTTGCGACTGTTAGTGTAACTACCCATATGCCAATTACAAAATTGGTCATCATAAATGTTATCCTTGCAGTCACGAAAGCTTTAAATCGAAATTTAATGTTATTCTCATCAAGGCCCCATTGTGTATAGTGAAATTTCCAACTCTTAGCATCCTCTCATCTCTAGCCTCTCTCTGTGTTATGAAGAGCCATTTTCCAAAATGTAGCGTATACTATATATATATATTTCCTCTCAAGACCACACACAGTGTTATTGACAATTGTGTAAATTTTTGTTATTTCTCAAAGGTCAGATATTTGACCATACTTCACCACACCGGTAAGTGTGGGTCGGCGAAACGCGGGGAGAATTAGCGCCGGTTTCGGATATCGCTCACCGCTCATATTTCACCTGGCCAGAAATCAAACTCGTAGCGCCAGGCTCTAACCACTCTCAGAGACTACCACCACAACGCCACGTGTCCTAGATTCACACACACACACACGTCCGGTTTTAGCCGCTGTAAGGTGATCGCGCACGTGGCCGGGCCCAGCCTTGATCCTTCCACTGCTGCCTCGGTGTGACGATGCCGGCGGAATGGCTGGCATTCGGGCCCGTAAAATCCGCGCCTTCTTTAGACAGCTGCTTGCCTCTCTCACGACCCGGTTGTTGGGGGGTGGAGGGGAGGGTGCTGTGACCAAAATATGGGTTCCCTGGCGGGTGAAATATACCTCTCTTTCATTTTACAAGCCGATCCCGCGCGTCAGATATTTTTTTGCGTTGGTTCCTTTCGTGTGGACTAACTGCGTAAGGTCAAACTAGATTCGAAGCTTTCGTGACGGCAGGAATTACTCGTTGGTTCTTTTCGGTACAGTCACGTGGAAAGGAATTAAATAAAATAATAATAGAATACGACGTTGCGATTGCAAAACAAGCAACCATCATCAGGTCCAAATGAATGAGAAAACGAACGGAGTAAACTTGGAAATATAATGCAATGCAACACAGAGAGTCGGCCAACACAAGAGCTAACACCTCACCTGGTTAATTACGTTCCTCCAAACATTGCTAAATTTGAGGGAGAGAGACGAAACATAGTAAGGTCACACAGAGTTCAGGTGTCTCCCTGCTCTAAACGAGCGATGAGCAGCAGCCACCTCTGCTGGCCGTTGTCAACATCAGAGGGCTTCAGTATTCCGCATTCCTATGGCATGCACAGGTCTCGGGGAGAGCTGTTACTTATTTTCAATCAGCCTCGGAGGAATGGCCGGGGAAAAGTTGACCCCCCCCCCCACCCCGCGCCCGAGACTGGAATCGGAGCTTGCGGCCATGGGGCGCCGGTGCCCCTGCAGGCAAGTAAAGGGGGGGGGGGGCGAGGGGGGGGCTCCGCTAGAGGGAGCACTTTAGAGAGCCCCTCCAGAGTGGCATTTGGCCTAATCTTCCACACTGGCCAGGAACACGTGGGAATTGCACGCAAATTACCCAATTGGAATAATAAGAAAAAAGCAGCAATCCTCGCCCCCTACTGGCAGACTGATGCCTCAAGGTCACTTGCAAATGAGACTCCTCCTGCTCTCTTGAGCGCCCACCGCCTGGTTAAAGAAAGTAAACCGAACACCTTACCCCCCCCCCCCCCCCCCGCTTACCTTACTCGCGACCCGCCGATCACCCGCCTGAGGACGAGCCCAGTGGACACAGCTTGGTGGACCAAGGCGGCTGGGAAGATTCAAGAAACTTTCAACTGCCGCGCCGGGCGATGGAACCGGTGACTCCGGGAAGGCAAAGCCAGCGCGACAGCTCTGAAGCCCTGTGGCAGCACCTCCATGGATAAGGACCCCCCCCCCCCCACTATTCACTACCACTGGCGAGGTGTTAACTCCCTCGCCTGGTATGCAGGAGGCGTGGGTTCGATCCCGACCCTGACGCCTGCTGCTGTATATTTTGAGTTTGTGTGTCTCTCTCTCATCATCATCACGGTGGCTAGGAGATGTTAACTCCCTCGCCTGGTATGCAGGAGGTCGTGGGTTCCATCCCGACCCTGACGCCTGCTGCTGCTGTATATTTGGAGTTTGCGTGTCTCTTTCTCTCCCCGCGATAGCCAGGTCGCTTCTGAAAAAAGGAGCCACACACGTAGATCAGGGGCCGTCCATAAATGACGTCACGCACCCAGGGGGGGGGGGGGTCAGACATTTGTGACGATGTGTGACGAGGGGGGGGTTAGAGAAATGTGACGTCACATCAAAATGCGCAACTTTAAATAAATATAGACAACACGTTCTACTTAATTAAATAGACTTTATAATAAATGTTTTCTCCTACAACATCAGAGTGCAGCGCCACATTAAATACGCACTACAATGACAATAGTTTAAAGCGATTTGAAGCATGTTTTATTTTTTGTGGAGGTGGGGGGGGGCAGAGTTTTGTGACGTCATATTTCAGGGGGGGGGGGGGTCTGACTTTTTGTGACGCCGTGTGACGATGGGGGGGTGGGGGGGGGGGGCGGGGGTCAAAAATCTTCCAAAATCGCGTGACGTCATTTATGGACGGCCCCTTTTAGCGGGCCTCACCTGGCCAACAGAAACATCGTTTCAGTCGGCGGTTTAACGGCACGCGTTACGTGCTCCACGCAGACCACCACCCTCGTGAACTGGCAGGCGGCTCGGCGCTGGGCAGCCGGGCCGGCGGAGGCGGCCGGGGCGGCTCGGCGCTGGCCAGCCGGGCCGGCGGAGGCGGCCGGGGCGGCTCGGCGCTGGCCAGCCGGGCCGGCGGAGGCGGCCGGGGCTGCGCGGGCCGGGCGTGACCTCCGGGGGGCCGTGGAGCGCTTCGCCTGCCTCGGGGAGCTGCTGGCCGCCCAGGAGCCCCAGCTGGAGCCGGCCGCACTGCGGGCCAGCGCCGACGTCCGCGGAGCGGGTGCGGAGGGACGCGGGGGTTGGGGGGGGGGGCACAGGGATGGGGGAGGAGGGGAAGTGGGGGGGGGGCGGACACGGTGGTGGGGGGTTCAGAGGCGGCGGGACATGGGGGAGGTGGGACGTGGGAGTCGCGGGGGGTGAGGGGGGGGGGGGACACGTGGGGCAGTGATGACTTCGCGCGTCGGCTTGCCGCTCGTTGCGGAGGTTGGCGGTGGTTCGAACCCTGCGGCCGTCCCGGCTAATGCTGAGGGCGTACGAAACGCGTGCCGTCTGCGTCGCAGCAGACGTTGAAGGTGCCGTGTGCGCCGGTGCTCATGGTCCAAATTTGCCAAATTTCAACGTTTTACAGCGAGCCCAGCCCTGCGCCGTGATCTCGGCGCCACGCAGCTGTGGCTCCTGAGCACCGGGGCCAATGGCTCGCGTTGGAGGAGAGGCAGCTTGCTCTCAAGTTGGTTATTTGATTTTTTTTTCCCCCCACTGATTTGGATTTGCGATCTTTTTTCGTGCATAATCAACGGAAAATTAGCTTCCAGTGACGCGCATCAATTAGCCCGTCTGTCCGTGGCCAAAGGCACGTGTGGGATCTGCTAATGGAGACCACCTACGTGGAGCCCTCATCCAGCGGTGGATTGAATGGGCATGTAACGCAAGCCCCCCCCCCCCCCCCGCTCATACTCGTCGAGCTCGGACGTGGCCTCGCCAACGGGCTGCACCTGCGGCCGCTTATCCGCGAGGTTCGTCTCCGATGGAGATTTTAGCGGCGTCTCTGGCGCGCGCGCTCGCAGGCAGGAGGATCGCGGAGCTGATGGGCGCAGGTGTCCAGGGAGGGCAGGAGGAGGAGGAGGAGGACGACCCTGCTCCGGATCGAGGTCAGAGGTCAGGGCTCCCGGACGCCGCGCCGGAGCAGCCCGGGCTGGCGCGAGCGGCCCGCCTGCTGCTCTCCTCCGTGGCACGCACGCTGCTCCTGGCCGACCGCGCCGCCATCAGGCACATCGTCGGATTCCGCAACCAGGTGCGAGCGTGTGTGTGTGCACGTGCCTCCCGGTAGGGAGCGGTGGCGCGGTTGTCTAACCGTGGCACGGCCGAGTCAGTCACCGTGGCATGGCCGAGTCAGTCACCGTGGCGAGGTTGTCTCACCGTGGCGTGGCTGGGTGCAGGTGCTGCAGAGTCTGGAGGGCCTGGAGAGTGCTGAGAGCCCTGCGGAGATGGTGCTGGCCTTCAACGACTTCTCCGAAGCCATCGAGCCCTTCGTCAACCTCTCGGCCGAGCGGGAGCAGGTGTGCCCCACTGTCCCTCTCACACCATCATCACCTACATCATCATCATCATCATCTCCTACATCATGATCATCACCTACATCATCATCATCATCACCTACATCATCATCATCATCTCCTACATCATCATCATCACCTACATCATCATCATCATCTCCTACATCATGATCATCACCTACATCATGATCATCACATACATCATCATCATCATCACCTACATCATCATCATCATCATCATCTCCTACATCATGATCATAACCTACATCATCATCATCACATGCATCATCATCATCACCTACATCATCATCATCATCTCCTACATCATCATCATCACCTACATCATCATCATCTCCTACATCATGATCATCACCTACATCATGATCATCACATACATCATCATCATCATCACCTACATCATCATATTAATCATCTCCTACATCATGATCATCACCTACATCATCATCATCATCATCACCTACATCATCATCACCTACATCATCATCATCATCATCTCCTACATCATGATCATTACCTACATCATCATCATCTCCTATATCATGGTCATCACATACATCATCATCATCATCTCCTACATCATGATCATCACCTACATCATCATCATCATCACCTACATCATCATAATCACCTACATCATCGCAATCATATTCGTCGTAGTCACAATTTGCTTTCGCCCCATTAGGGATCTGAGCAGTTCGTGTGCCAGTGCTGAATGGATTGATGCATGGCAAGATCACGAGAGTCGATGGTGGATTCGGGAGGCCTTCATCCAGCAGTGGATTGACCATAACCAATGATGATAGTGGTGATCGACGTCTGTCTCCACAATTTTGGCAGCCTAACACCAGATGGGGGGCTACTGTTTTGTGCTATCTCAGAGGTCGTGTCTCTACTGTTTAGGAGCTACAGGATGCGTGGCAGAACGGAGAGTTGGCAAGGTGTGGTGGCATCTACTGTATTGACCATGATGGCATGATTATTTTAATCTTGGTTGGCAGCATGGCACTGTAGGAGAGAACTTGGCCTGCGGTGGGAAGATCATAAATCCCTGTCAAGGGTCGCCTCTTCGTCTCCCTACACTCGATGAAATCGGTAGCGCTGCTGTCAGGCCGTTCCATGAATTATCCGTGCAATGGTAATGTGGAATTTCCGCCACGAGCTCAAGACTGACCGACACAGATGAGCACGGTCAAAAACACTTGCGTTCAGTTTGTTGCGCCTCCGGTTTCGGCTACGTACGGCGCGAAAGAAATTCAACCGTACGTGCGCACGACAATAGGTGTGCTCTCCTGGCTTGGGGGGGGGGGCGTGAACTCGTGAGAATCGGTCTCTCCACGCCGGCGCTCAGGATCTCAAGGACGAGCGGCAGGCGGCGCGGATCGGAGCCGCTCGGAATGTGCTGGAGAAGGCCCCCATGATGCTGCTCGCTGCGTGCAAGGCAAGTGAGGTTGCCTGCTGCACGCGCTGCAACCGCAGCGCCGGATTATTCTAGGAGCAAAAGTAGCTACATGTGTAGTAGCTACTACATATGTAGTAGCTACTAATGTAGTAGCTACGACATGTGTAGTAGCTACACGTGTAGTAGCTACACGTGTAGTAGCTACTACACGTGTAGTAGCTACTACACGTGTAGTAGCTACACGTGTAGTAGCTACTACACATGTAGCTACTTTTGCTCCTATGATGTAGCAGCTACACGTGTAACAGCTACACGTGTAACAGCTACACGTGTAGCTGCTACACGTGTAGTAGCTACATGTGTAGTAGCTACGGGCCCCGCACTTTCAAGGGCCCCGCGCTAAATGCTTTCAAGCTATCAATTCCGGTTCGGTGATTCTGCACATGCTGTATTACTATAGTACTATACCGCCTTCGACTTGTACGAACGACCGGGTGTTTAAGGTTTAGCGATTTGTCGTATTATCTGGCTGCACGGCAAATGAAAAAATCCAATTACTTTACTATGCAAGCAAAACAATGTGCGTTCACATTTGTACGTGTTTTTTTTATTATTATTATTAGGGCCCCTTCATAGCATATGCCACAGGCCCCGCACTGCGCACCGTGGTATGTGCGGGAGGGCGTCCCCGTGCCCGTGTTACCACGTGACACAAACGACGATGCCCGTGTGGCCTGCGAGAGACCGGGTGGGGCAAGCGCTGTTGGCCAGCAGCTACGAAGGCCGACACCATCGTCAAGTCAAGCACATGTTGTTGTCAACCCGATTTATTTGATTCGCGATGAGTTTGTTTCGGGTCAGATCGTCGTGTTGGTATAACGTCAATGATTACCTATAACCCTCCACCACCCGACAGAGCCAATCAAACGACGTTTTGACAATGTTTAGATTTGTCAAGATGTTCGCTCGCTTTTCACAACGTTCCGGTTTCGCCGATGAACCGAATGTCCCGGCGCACTTTTTGCCCACGGAGGCGGCAAAACTCGATTCGATAGGCTCCGTCGGGCCGTTCGAGGGCCACAGTCAAGGCCACAAAAAAACAAACCTCGACGCTCGTGCCGGCACGTGGACCCGACCGGAACGAAACCCCCCTCCCAGCGAGCAGCGCGTCGGCCGCGCCGCTCGCGAATGCCCCACGCGCGACCCCCGGCTCGTCCGCCCGCCTGACCCGGGGGGCGCTCGCCGGTCGCAGACGCTGCTGTCGCACGGCGGCTGCGGGGATGCGCGGGCGGCCCGCGAGCGCGTGCTGGGCCGCGTGCGGGCGGCCACGTGCCGGGTGGTCGACATCGTCGCCGCCGGCGGGAACCGCGTCCCCACCGGCACCGCGGTGAGTCGCCCGGCTCCACCCGGCCCCGAGTTCCATACACGACCGCACTTTCTTCAGAAGTTATTTTCGTTAAGTAGCCCGAGCGCACATGCACACGTGCATATTTCGGGACGTGGAAAACTGGGCTGGACGGCCCAGGGATGAACAGTCGCCGTTTCAGTTTTAGTCGCGAGGACGATGGGAGACGGAGCAGCGGAAGGCCCCGGGGTAGCATGCAAGCATCCTGCATCCCTGTTGGCTGGGCCGCTGATTGGAACGCTTCGCAGCGCACGTTGCCACATTTAATTAACCTGTTGCTCATACACAGTCGCATTCGTGCGCCTTTTAACTCCAAAGGGGTATTTACCCATTCCCCAGCCAAAATTATTCATTATTATCATCCAAGTAGCATTTGAACGTGACGCGTGCTTTGAAACGCTGTGGCATTAAGCACTGCAATCAATGCAAATCCTAACCCTTAAGGGTCCTGTCATTAGCATACCGATGGAAGGTGCTCCCAAGCTGTATCGACTAATTGGCCGTACTGCAAAGATCCGACCAATGCCCGCTGAGCTGCATTGGCTTCCGGTTGCCGAACGAGAACGTTACAAGGTCGCGCTCATTACACACGCAAAGTGCTCGCCACAAAAGTAAACGACGATACCTTGGTGATCCCGTCAGGGGGCATGAACCATCGTCACGCGAACTCTCACGGTCATCCTCGCAGCAGCAGCAGCGGCAGCGGCGGCTTTTGGCAAACCGTCGGAACAAATAGACGGCCGCCGCATCGCGCGCATTCAGGCGCGCTTCTGCGGCCGTCTGGAACGCTCTTCTTTCCGATATTCGGAAGCCACTGGAGCCGTGCACTCTCGAATAATCTAGATCGACAAACTCATTTCTTTAGAACTGCTTGTTGTTCTCTTCAGTTTGTCCTTCCCCCGCACCTCCGACTGGCACGCTTGGCCACGTACTTCCACAGCTGCTGCCCGACGGCACGGCTACGTTGTGCCCCGCCGCGGCGGCGCGCCCCCCCGGCTCCCCTCCGTGGGGACCCACGCTCCAGCGGGAGGAGGAGTGGCCCGCGCCGGCATCATCGGTGGCTGCTGCCGCTTGGACGACCGGGTCGGGCCCCGGCACGTGGGCCGGCGTGCCCGGGCAGGCTGCGACAGACGGGGCCCGGAGGGATGAGGACGCTCGCGACGAAGCTCTTCCCTGGCTGTGCGGCGCCGTGGACGCGGTCAAGGTCGGCGGGCCGCTACGCGTTGGTCGCGAGTCACGGAGGAGTCACGGAGCAGAGCGTTCCCTACTCGACACCAGCACACGTGGGGGGGGGGGGGGGGGGGCAGGGGGGGATTGCGGCTGGGCACGGCCCGTGGAAAACGTGTAAAATGATGTACGCGGACACCACGTGCGCCATCTCCTCGGCTCTTTCTAAAGCCTCCTTATAAGCGAGACCTGGGAATAACTTACCCACTGCTCCTCCACCTTTGTGTACAGCCCTGGGATAATGAACTCAAATGGCAAACAGAAGCTGGTCGCAAACAGGATTGAACCTTTTCACCGAGATTCGTGTCCCCTGCCACGATACCGCGCCATCAGTGCAATTACCTTCCTAGATCCAAGCTCGCGGCTCCCCCGGCACTCGCGATCGCACCTCCGGCTGCCGTTGCCACGCTCACTCTGCCTCCCTCGCTCCCGCTATCCGCGTCCGGCCGACAGACGCACGTGGAGGGCCTGCGCGAGGGCCGCCTGCAAGCGAGGCGTCTGGAGCGCGCTCGGCTGCTGCTGCTGCTGCTGGGCCCGGCGCGGGGCGGCGTCCGCGACTTCACGGAGGCGGCGTGCGTGAGCGGCGAGCACCGCGAACGGCTGCTGCGGCTGTGGGCGGAGGCGCAGGTCCGCGTCGACGCGATCGCCGGGGCCGTCGAGCAGGCGGTGAGCGCCGAGGGCTCGCCGCCGGTTTCGAGGAGACCGTCTGTTGCGGGACGAGCGGGTTCGTGTGTTTTGGGGGGTCGGGGGCCCGCCGCGTCCCAGTTCCTGGCCTAAAAAAATGGTCGTCGTCGTGAACCCCCCCCTCCTCCGCCGCCGCCCGACCGATCGACCGACCCGTTGTGTCGACCTCGCAGAGTCGTCGCCAGAAGTGTCGATCAGATTCCGACCGGTTGAAGCTCCCCCCGCGGCCAACGCGCGTCGCCAACGCGCGGGGACGCGTCGCTCGCATCAGCCTCATCGGGTAGCGGGCTCGGAAATGGAGCGGATCCGTTGCACTTGCAGCGAGGACGTTTATACTTTAACTTGACTTTAACGTCCGTTCGTGTTGGCGCGCCCTTTTCCGTTTCTTCCGTCAATGAGGTTGTTTTTCGCGCTGGTTTCTATTCGCTCCGTCGTTGCGCTTCGTGCGACGTCAATTCTTTTGCATTTTGGTGACCCCTAGGTTCACGTGCACAAACGGAGTCTTTCCTGCGCCCTGTAGCTTTCTCGACTCGTTAAGCAAAATAAACCGTACACTTCACCTCTGTGCTGGTCTTCCCAAGACGTCCTCCTTTTGAGGTGGCTCTCCTGGAAAATCTGTGAAAGTCTTCCCGGGGACATTGATATTCCAATGGCCGGTCGAATAGCGCGCCTTAAGCGAACACATCCCTTAGTTTATTTGAACGTAGGTGGTCAGCCTAAGCGAATATGTAACGTGCAAGAGATTGAGTGGTTTTTTTTTCAATTAAAATATTTCACCAGGGCGTCATGTTGCATAATAATCCACCACAAGTAATAATCTACCGCTCACGATGATAGAATGCACATGTAGATTTTCCCCTCATCTGGTCTTGTGAGATAGTCATCCCACGATAATATCCCAGTCGGTTTATGCTCTGGACAGTGAAAAATAACTTTATAGCTCACTGGATTCCTTCAGGATAAATAGATATTCTGATTCTGGCAAGCTTAGGTTGCAGTGTATGTAGGTGCGTTGAAAGCTATCTCTGGTGTGGACCAATCAGTTTCAAAGACAATGCATATATTATCAGAGTATTTTTTTTGCATTTTGACCACAAGTATTGTAGTTAATGCAGACATGATTCCTTGTAAAAGGTTTCAGTTTGGTGTTTTAACAACTCAACACCTGTTTTGTTGCCAAATAAAAGGGGAAAAACTTATCTTCTTTGGTTCTTTCGGTAAAGTCACGTAGAATGAGAATAAAATAATAAATTGATAAAATAAAATAACACAATAATATTCTCATGACGTTTCGGCCACAACACAAGCGGCCTTCATCAGGTGAAGGGGGCGAGACTGTCTGGTAGGACAGCGCTGGAGTGAAAAACTTACTCTTATATTTTTGTACTGTAAGTGTATGAACTTATTTCGCACCGCATGTAACCAACCGTGCTAATCGGAGGTGCGGGCGAATGACAACAAACTAAACCCAACAACAAGCAGTTCGAAAGAAGTTATTATTTTTTTAAATCAATCTAGATGATTTAAAAGTGCACAGCTCCAGTGGCTTCCTCATATCGGAAGGGAGAGCGTTCCAGACGGGCGCGGAAGCGCATCCGAAAAGCGCGGCGCGAACCACCGTCTTCGTCCGACGGCCCAGCCAGCGAGACTGACTCTGACCCCGCCGTTGCAGGTTCCCCCGGAGCAGTCCCAGCTCGGCCACGAGATGGAGCTGACTCTCATCGCCGCGTGCCAGACTCTGGATCAGCTCAAGAAACAGGTTTGGCCCCAGCCGTGCGTCGCCGTCACCGCTGCAGGAAAAACGCCCACATCGCAAGGGGCACTTAACACGACGGCGGCCGTGGTGGCGGCGGCGGCGGCGATTGTGCACGCCATCAGGGAGCACCTTGGGACCGCTCGGTCCTAGAATTGGCTCATTCCGGGATAATTATCGAGCCCGTTTATGTCAACTGAACGACGGCGATTTTGGCGACGCTCGCACGCTTGCGTTGTATTCTGAGAATGCCGTCGCAGAACGGGACGATTGATCTTTAATGAAAAGCGCACGCGGTTAATGAAAAGAGAGAAAAAAATTCCACCAGGTTGGCTTAAACTAGACGCTTGTAAATTATTTTTCTGTAATCCGTGGCATGGGTTAAACCCGTGCATTCCTTACACCCTTTTCAAGAAAATGTCATTGTCACGTAATATTCCAGCCTGGCTCCAAGTAAAACTATACTTATTATTAAGACTCACTCATTTCCGTGAGGGCAGAAGCTTGCAGACTGTTGTAAAAACAGGCTTTTATATGAATAAAAATAGGGTTTTATATGAATAAAATAAGGAGTCTGTCACTTAGGAGTAGGGCTTGCAAGGCCAGAAATATGAACACAATGGCAGATGCACAAACATTCACGTGTCATACCCGTGTGCATGCACCACAGCCCCTCCATCAATCCACTGCTGAATGAATGCCTCCCCACGCCGTGTCGGTCGTGGGGGGGGGGTGGGATTGTTTGACCATACTTCACCATGCTAGTCAGTACGGGTCGGTGAAGGAGGGTGCCCAGGACCGGCTCGGCCATCGCTCGCCGCTGATGTTAGTCGTGCTCGTAGGACAGTTCGTAGCACTAGTTTCTATTGTCGGGGTGGTGTTCAGAACGTTGCTTTCCGGCCAGGCGGCTCGGCAGTAGATGGGCGGTGAGTTCGAATCCTGGTTGGAGGTTAAACTCGTCCCATCATTCCTCCGGGGTCGACAAAATAGATACCGCCTGTTGGGGAGCGGTTGTGCCATGGATAGACTCGCATCCGACAGGGGAACGTGTAATTTCTCCCGCCGGCTACAAGCTGGATACAGACGACACTGCCTCTGTGCTGATGCGAGCGGGAATTCGCTCTCGCTTCTGAGTCTGGCGTTGACGGTACAATGACGGACAAGGAGTCGCGTGATGATTTGAAATTGTACAGTAATTCGGTGAGCGATCTCAACTAACCGAGCGTGGACATTTCTCGCTCTCTCCAGGCCGGGTCACCGCCCTCTCAGTAGCCAAATTGGAAGTTGCTTCTGGGTACAAAGACGCAAAGCGACGTTTTGCCAGCTTTCGCAACAACGTGTAATTTCGGTCACAGGTTTCCGCTATATTTGATGAAGAGGTTTCGTCACGCTTTTCCGTGCCTCCCATGACACCACCGATGAACTGAACAATGGAGGGCAAGCTTGAATTTCCACCATTGCCTGAGCTTCTGTAACCAGGATCAATCAAACTTCATTAATTTAAAGGTGCCTTTATTAAAACCTTACGTAATGTTACACCCCCCCCCCCATTACAACTTTGAAAGCATGCAATTAAAGTAGCGATTGGGTTGATCTGCAACCGCAGATTTGTGTAAACGATTCTTCAGTTGTCGTCTGTGAAAACCAGGCTGAACAGGCAATGTTTTAAGTTCTTAAAACAAAAATGCACACAGGAGGTGAGCACCGACTCTTTGGAATGTGCGTCCAAGGTCTGGGTTTGTAAAAGGGCACGGGGGTGCGAATTGTTTTTGTATGCGCGTTGAACTTCTTTCGCACCGTACGTCGCCAAGTGTGCTAATCGGAGACGCGGCAGAATGAGGTGGGCTGGTGGTGGTAGAGGGGCGGTATTGTTACTGACACGGCTGCACTCGCGTGCGTCCCTCGCCTGAACCGGCGCGCCGTGCCCCCCCGGTCTCTCCCGCCCGTGTCCGGCCTCCCCCCGCCGGCCCAGCTGCAGGTGGCGGCCGTGGCGGGTGCCATGCGTCTGCTGTCGTCGCGGCCGGGGGAGCGTGCCCTGGCCCGCCTCCCCGAGGAGGCCGCCACGGGCCACGTGGGCGGTGTGAGCGAGCTGGCCGCCAGCCTCTGCGAGCGGCAGGAGGCTCTCTCCGAGGTGCTCGCCGTCGCCGTCGCACGACATCGTCACCGTCGTGCCCGCATCTTTCGGGTCACGCCTTGGATCCGCGTTCGTTCGCACGGAAACTCGCATTCACGTGTGGGCTCGCATACAAGCGAATGAAGACAAAGATTCCCCGTGGAGCCTTTAAGGGTGCTGTTAACGAGTAGCACCTATGATGGCCTGGCACGGTACACGAGGGGGTGGGTGGGTGGGTGGCCAGCATCACATTGCGCCAGGTACTCGTTCAAAGCTGAGCTTATCTCGGCTTCGAATGAGTACGCGGCCATTGCGTAATGTCTCTCTTCCACAACATGCTAGTCTCACGGGCCACGCGATCACAATCGCCATCCGTCATGGACCTGACCGACCCGGTTTCCCTCGCGGGGGTCACGGAGCACGGTCGCCAGATGCTGGTTTCGGGAGGCAAGGCCGGTGGAGACGCTGGGACGAGCCGGCGTGCGCCCGTCTGCACATCTCGGTCTCCGTTGCCATCGATCTGATTATAATTCCTGGTTCGGCCACCGTCAATCCACGGCAAATTGGAATTCTTGCTGCCCGCGACCACCCCCCCTCTCCGCCCCCGACTTGCTCCGGAGCCCTCGTTCAGCGGTCGGCACTGACCAATCACGGCAGTGTTGGCGGTTGCGTTTTTTAAAATTGCCATCGTTTCGGTGAAACATCTGAAATACGATGGGGATCCATCGCTGCCGGCTCACCTGGCAGCTACTGGCTTCGCCGTGGCTTCTGTGGGCCGGGTGGCACTTCAATCGCTCCCCATTCTTCCTCATTCAAGGCACTAACTCCCCTAACTGGTGTGGAGCTGAGTGGCGATTTCGCCGGGTTCTCAAGCGTAATAGGTTCATACCCTGCCCGGCAATAAAACAGAGGTGTTAAAATGTTCAAACACCAAATAGATTACCTTTTGCTAACATTCAAGTACTGCATTAACCACGCAAACGGTACTTGTGGCGAACATGCAAACAAACATGCTCTCATGATACTTGGATTATCTTTGAAACCGATTTGCGTTATTTTTCATACTTTGTTACTTGCAAAAAAAGATCCCATGATAGATTGTGTAAGAATTAAATGAAGCACTTTCGATTCCAAAAAGCATATGTGTACATGTATGCACTCGTCATACCCTTGATTCGATGTTTACAATGGTAAAAATAGATCGTTCTTTTAAATTATAAATTCTAACACCTCATCAATTCGCGGCGATTCGTGTTTGCACGATCCACGAGGAATAATGATGGCTTATCCACCAGGTATAATGCCATCTCGTCCACCGGTGACATTTAACGATGGCCCGTTCACCAGTAATGTGTGGCTTGCAGGTTTGCCGGCTGCTGCGACACGTGGCGGAGACGGAGCCTCTGGGCATCAGGTGCTCTCACCTCGACGACTGCATCCAGTCCACCGTGCAACAGGTACCACCCACGGTCAATTTCTCCTCCGTACATCGCACATTTTTCTGAGACTCCAAAAGAGGCTGTAGGTTGGCAAAGAAGTCGCCCTGGTGGACAACGCCCACCGCGGTCACCCTGGGGGACAGCGGCGACCGCGTTTGCCCTGTGGGCTATCGTTTATTTTTTTCCGTCGCTGTTCCCCCACTCCAGATTCTCTCCGCGAGCCAGGTGCTGGTGCAGAACCCCGAGAGCCGAGCGGCGCTCGAGCTCCTCGAGGTTTGCCGCCAGGCGTGGGCCGAGTGCCTGGCGGCGCTCACCGTGCTCGTGCGCGACACCGTCGACGCCTCCCACGGTGCGTGGGTGCTGCGAGTGGGCGAGCGGGAGAGGAGAGTGGGAGATAGGGCAGGTGGTCTGGGGTTAGAGGGGTAGGGGATAGGGCCCAGGCTCTCGCTCCCCAACCTCCGGCACAACCGGGACAGCCGGAGCAGAACACGTCGAACGAGATAACGGCGCTGTTTTCGGTTGCGCATCGTGACCTGCGGCTTGACCCCTGACGTGGCTCTGCGGGTCCGCTGTGAACTTGGAAGCTGTGGGCATGCGTGGCGCTCGCACGCGCACACACGTGGCTGGGCTTGGTGGCACACGTAGAGATGCGTACGGGGGTTTGTTGGACCGTTTGTGGGTTTTTCTCCATGCATCCGAGTTTTCTCACGCTCGCATTTATTTTGATGTGGACCGAAGTGCAGTTCTTCAAAGACTGCTGATGGTTTTTGCGTAATGCACACAAGTGCTTTTTGTAGACGCGTTTGTATATCTAATGACAGGATTATCAGATGTCCTAGGCCTTGATGTCTCTGCAAAAGCTGCATCTAGTGTTGGATGTCAGCGTGGTAGGGTGGTATCAATCGTGCCTCACGGAAATAAGACCCTGGGTTCGATTCCTGACGAGGGCGTTTTTCTGTGTGAAGATTGTATCTTCTCCCCCTGTTCTGCATGCATTGCCTCTGGGCTATGCGGTTTCCTCCCAAAGCTAAAATAAACACAGTGTCACTGGCGTCGGCAAATACCAATTCAAGAAAATAAAAATACTCGCAAATTACTCTATTTCGATTCCACACAGCAACATCGCCGCCGACTCCAAACAACTTGACGGTACCCTCCTGAAAAAGAGTCTCGTGACTCAGTGAGGCTTGCCCAAAGAATAATTATGATTGTTATGCAACGCTAACATAGCTGGCACCCACGACAAAAATTCCGTCGCTTGTCAAGACGCGGCAGCAATGTGCCCGCGTGGTAGTGCCACTGTTGCCGTGCTGTTGCCACAAATCAACGTTCCCCCATCGGCACGGGGTTCGTATCGTTGGGGAGACCTCCTCCCCTGCCCCCCGTATCCCTCCCCACCCCACCTCCATCCCCCCTCCGTGACTTTCTCAACCGGGAGCTGCTGGATGCTCTGCATGTCGTACCGCTGTGCGGAGCGCGGACGGGCGACCCCGTTGCTCTCCGCGCCCGTGTTGTTCTGCAAGGACACGACCCCCTTCTCCCTCCCTCCCTCCCACCCCCTATATTGGCAGAGCGCCCTCCAACACAACGCGCGTAATGTGGCAATAGGTAAGAGACCACGCCGCTCCCCTCTTCTGCCGCGTGGTCGAGTTTCAGCCGGGTGGCTAGGCGGGCGGGGGCGTGGGGGGTGGAGGTCGCGGCATTGAAAACAGAAGCGGTGGCCGAGCAGAGATTTTAAAAGCATTTTTGACGGTGGGAGCGAGGTTATTTTAACTCCTTGTTGGGTTTTTATTTCTTCCTCTTTTGTGTTTGTTTTCCTTCCTCCAGAGAAAGGCTCGAGCCAATCGCTCCACAGGCACGGGGTAAGACGAGTGCCGCTGCTGCTGTGTGCAGTACATGAGTGCTTTTTTGGACCTCGTGACGAGGGATCTGCAATGCGCCGCGCTCGTGTTTGTTGACAACACAGTGGCTCCATCCCCCGTCGGGTTACCTTGTACACGGGGTCAATCCACTTGTGCACGCATTGAGAGCTCCCATTCTCCGTCGTCAAACTTTTGCTTTCAAATTGCCGTTGCACGCACGCACGCACGCGCTTATTTACTGAGACATCGCAGCTGGTCGTGCGCATTGATTGGAAAATCTTTCTTCCGTTGGCAACCTTGGATGTTATTTTTCGCGACCGTGTTCGGCTTTTCCAACGGCGCTCCAACCTGCCCCCATTCATCTGTTTATTTCACAATTTATGTATCTATTGTAGTGGAGCCATCGGCGTCGTTACACGCGGTCCGCATTTCACTTGTTGGTACCAGCTGAGGTGGCATGACAGTGCGGCGGGTTCCAATTGTTCCTGTGTGTCCAACAAGAGGCACCTCATCTTCTTGGTTCTTTCGGTAAAGTCACGTAGAAGGAAAATAATAAAATAATAAAAATAAAACATAATGAAATAAAATTCTCACGACGTTTCGGCCACAACACAAGCAGCCGTATTCAGGTGAAGAAACAGAACTGTCGGGAAGACAGCGTTCCAATGAACACTGCTAAGCTTGGCAGCGACTTTTAAGCTGGGTGGGAGGAGCAGAGCACCTTGACAAAGGAGTTTACAAATCAACAGAAGAATTTAGCATTGAAGTAGCTAAGTTATTGTGATAGATTAGCAGGATGTTAAAGTCAGAAATGAGCATGTAACTGGGAAATTATATTGAACATTACACTGAAAGGTACTAAGAGATTAGCAGGATGTTAAAGTGAGAAATTAGCATGTAACTGAGAGATTAGCATCATGCTAATGTGAGGATTTAGCATGTAACTGTTCACAGAAGTGGCTATGTTAAAGTCACCATGTGGAGATATTTTTTGTGACCCCCGCAATGTAGGGTAAGGTGATGGTTTTGAATGGCTCCTCAAGAGGATCCTTCTTCATGGTTGGAGTGATGGCTTTGCGGATTGTGTAGTCGGAGTAACCATTAGCCTTAAGAGCTTGGTGTGCGTGCTTGAGTTCACTAGCAATGTGTTCCTGGTCGGAGATGCATTTGGCTCTATGATGTAGAGTCTTGATGAGGGAATTCTTCTGGGATGGATGGTAGTGGGAATCCGGTTTTAGGTAAGCATCCGTATGGGTAGCTTTTCGGTAGACAGAGTGGCTCATTGAACCTTCAGGTCTCCTTTTAATTAGGACATCCAAAAAGGGTAGCTTGCCATCTTTTTCGACTTCCATGGTGAATCTGATGGCTGGGTGTATGGAATTGATGTGGTCGAGGAATTGGTCTAGAGCCGGCCGGCATGTGGCCAGATGACAAAAGTGTCATCCACGTACCTCTTCCATAAGGTCGGGCGTAGAGTGGCAGTCTGGATGGCGTCAGTCTCAAATTTCTCCATGAAAACATTGGCTTCAACCGGAGATAGGGGGGAGCCCATTGGAATCCTGAATAAACACAAGATACAGGTCCGATTCAACACAGTACATAAAATCCGTGATCTGGTCCCGTCTGTAAAAGATGTGGTTCCAGACATACAGTACCCGGGCGTCTACAAACTAAGTTGCCTCTATGATCGCAGTTACATTGGAGAAACCAAACGACATATCTCGGACCGCATCAGTGAACATAAAGCAGACCTGAAACACGGTAGGACGAACACCTCAGCCGTGGCAGATCCCTATTATAATTCAGTAGGCTCACATGAGAGATTCGTTCATGAGGCCATCCACATATACAAACACAGAGACAATTTCAACCGAGAAGATGAATTATGGCTTAGTAATCACTGGAAGGACGTGATCAACAATTTCCGTTCTTGATTGATTGTGTTTTACGGTGACTTTCAGACTGCAGTCCATTCGCTGGCATTGCCTCTTAATACCTTTCACGCGACGGCCAATGATATGGTTTATAGCATGTTGTATAATAATAAAATAGTATAATAGTGTAATGTTTAATATAATTTATAAGGCAATATATAGTATCGTAATTGTATAGTGAATATACAGCAGTGTGGTATACAGTAGGGTTGGTAGAATAATACATAGTGTAATATTACAAGTCTAATATTATTGTATTCTAAAGTATAGGGTAGTGTATAGTAACGCATTGTATAATTCAATGGTGGGTTTATCTATGGCAGTGTATAGTACGGTGTATAGTCGTGCAATGTAGAAAAAAGTTTAGTTGGAGGCATATCAATATAATGCATGTTAGAGCTTATATTGGGCTGTGTATACGATATTATACAGTGTAGTTCAGATTGGAAGGTATAATATTGTAATGTATAGTAGTCTAGTTCATAACATAGTTGTAACGCAACACAGGACAGAGTAGTGCACCGTGGTTGTTTCTCTCTCTCCCCCCTCCTCCGTTCCGAGCATAGATGGACTCGTCCATCTGAACAAAGCTCGCCGCTTTCTGTGGTGCTAACGTTGAAAAGAAACCGCTACTTTTTTCGACATAGAATTGTAATTTATAGTGACTTATTGCTAGTAGCTCAATTGATTGGATAGTATATTGAGTTTATTGATAATATTGATGTAGTTTATATTTTAGTTTTTTTTATCAGTTTACTATATGGTATTCATTATATAGTGTAGTGTATACCCAGTTACTTAATGTTAATAGCTCAACTTATTGGAGAATATATTGAGTACATTGATTATATTGATGTAGTTTATATTTAGTTCTTTCACATCGGTGTATTGTATGATAGGTGGATAGTTGCAATTCTTTAGCGTTAATATACTAAATGCCTCTGTTGATATGTAAACTCTGACTTTAACATAGCTACTTCCGTGGCTAAATCCTCACATTAACATCATGCTAATCTCCCAGTTATATGCTCATTTCTCACTTTAACATTCTGCTAATCTCTTAGTACCTTTCAGTGTAATGTTCAATATAATTTCCCAGTTACATGATAATTTCTGACTTTAACATCCTGCTAATCTATCACATCAACTTAGCTACTTCAATGCTAAATTCTTCTGTTGATATGTAAACTCCTTTGTCAAGGCGCTTTGCTCCTCCCACCCAGCTTAAAAGTCGCTGCCAAGCTTAGCAGTGTTCACTGGAACGCTGTCTTCCCGACAGTTCTGTTTCTTCACTTGAAGACGGCTGCTTATGTTGTGGCCGAAACGTCGTGAGAATTTTATTATGTTTTATTTTCATTATTTTATTATTTCCCTTCTACGTGACTTCACCGAAAGAACCAAGAAGATGAATCCATGCAGTCACGAAAGCTTTAAATCAAAATTTAACAGGCACCTCTTGAAATGGGCAAGTTAGGAAATAATTCACTCTCATTGGCCGTATAAATACACCGGTACCGCACAGACAAGGTTTTGCTCCCTTAATTGGTCGCGATTTCTGCCGTGGTCCATGGCCTAATGGGACAAAGAAGGCGTTCGGAATCCCCGTAGAACCGGTGCACCACCTCGTGTTGTTGTTTAAAGGGCCCGCGTGGTGCGATGTCACTGGCATGGCAGAACTACTTCTGAGATTGCTTCAGGTGACCTCTGCCCTCTGCACTTATCTACATTCCCCGCTTTTACAGATGTCTGTCGCACGTCAGTTAAGCAACACTGTACACTCTCCGAGCACCCGAATGCATCAAACTAAGTGGAACAACCGCATTCGATGTCATGGCTTTTCTTCATACACTCGTTGGTGACGTGGCTGAGAAGCATCAACTCGTCACACCAGAGGGGACGCGGTTCAACCCAGCGGTATCAGCTCAGCCCTCTCACTCCCGAGCCACTCAAGTCGCCTAAATTTGTCTTAAAAACGAAATCCGTTACGTGATTATTTTTTGTTACGGTTGCGAACCCTCCCAGCGGTTTCCCTACGGAGTGCGTCAATCTCGTTGGTGTTGCACTCGGGCGGCGTGTCACGTGGGGCCGGCGCGATTAGTGACACCGCGTGCGGAGTGACACCGCGTGCGGAGTGACACCGCGTGCGGAGTGACACCGCGTGCGGAGTGACACCGCGTGCGGAGTGGCACCGCGTGCGGAGTGGCACCGCGTGCGGAGTGGCACCGCGTGCGGAGTGGCACCGCGTGCGGAGTGACACCACGTGCGGAGTGACACCGCGTGCGGAGTGACACCGCGTGCGGAGTGACACCGCGTGCGGAGTGACACCTGCGTGCGGAGTGACACCGTGTCACTCTGCACGGCGACGAGTGCCGCATCTGCGCTGGATTCGGGCCTCCTGCCTCCAGTGTTTTCCACGATTATTCAAATCATCGGCGGCGGAGGCGTAACCCGGGGCAGCCTCGTGGATACGCTGCTGGCAATGAGATCTGTTGCTTGTGCGTCCAAATTCTTAAACGGGGGTCACTCGCGAGATAAGCCACGCACGTTATCTATGAATGTTATGTTTAGAGATAGGGTTAACCCTGTGTTTAACCCATACCTAGGATTAACCCAAACTCCATCTCTATGGTGAACCCCAACCATAATCCTTTGGTTTCTCCGAATGTTAACCACAATCTTTAGAGTTAATTAAACACCTCGCCATGGGGCTCACCATTTTAAAATAATTAACCCTTACCATACTCCTCAGGTTGACTATATTACTAAATCGATTATTTACCCTGACCCCCAACTCTAGGAGCTTTTCATACTTCTAACCCGAGCGTCAAATCCTACGTTTTTAAAATATCATCGCTAACACTGGGATCACAAATAAGAGCCCTGTCGCTTGTATTACAAACAGCGAGTGATAGCGTTGAGCTCAAACGAGCCATTGTGTTTCCCATTCGTAGATGGATCTGCAGTGGCTCAGCTCGAGAGGCGTGGGGGGGGGGGGGGGTTCAGATTCACCGTTCGGATGCCAAATCGCCAGGTTTCGTCCCAGAGAATCGGCCTTGCCTTCGTTTTACGATTTGCTTAATTCGTCCAGAACGCTCTGGCAAAGTAAACCAATTCCAGTGACGTCCAAACGAGGCTCCGCTGCGGGGGGGGGGGGGGTCTGCACGAACCGTCGCTTCACAAATGCATGTGATTCGTGACGCAACATCGTTTCGATGAATTCGAGTAAACATATTCTTAGTTTTTTCGGTAAAGTCACGTTGAAGAGAAACAACAAAATAACAAAATATATATAAAACAATAAAAAATTCTTACGACGTTTCGACCATAACTCAAACGGTCATCATCAGGTGTGATGATGATCATCAGGTGTGATGATGACCGTTTGAGTTATGGTCGAAACGTCGTGAGAATTTTTTATTGTTTTATATATATTTTGTTATTTTGTTGTTTCTCTTCAACGTGACTTTACCGAAAAAACTAAGAATATGAATTACTGCAGTCACGAAAGCTTTAAATCAAAATCGAGTAAACATGTTTTGTGCTGCTTTGTCGGTGGCGTCGTCGGAGCCGCGGAAATGATTGTAAAGCCTCTTCATCACATACAGCGGAAACCTGCGACCCATTTTACATGTTGTCATGAAAAACACGTAACAAAAATTGCTTTCTGCCAATGTGACTTTGAGCAGCTTCCAATTTGGGTACTTGGGTAGCGGGACGCCAAAATGCAAATCCAGTTCTACCGCAGGCTCCTGCTATTATATTAAAGCTGAGAATTCACTGAGGCTCGTTTACAAGACATATAAGTGCACGGTTCTATTTTTGGTTCTTTCGGTGAAGTCACATAGATATAAAATTTAAATTAAATTAAAATTAAAAAAGAAATTAAAATTTAAAATAATAGCCATAAACACCCCACGACGTTTCGATCGCAACAGTCACGAAAGTTTCAAGTCAAAATTTGCACGGTTCTAATTTATCCTTTGGTGCACAAAGAGCGTCTCTTGCCCAGGAGTTCAGAATTGGGTGGAGGTGCTGCTGCTGCTGCTGACAGATGACGGCGATGGTGGTGGCTTGTTGGGCTTACACGTGCGCAGGACGAGGCAGAGGTGGCTCGCCTGGCCGGCGGCGTGCGGGAGCGCACGAGCGAGCTGGAGGCCGAGGTGGAGCGCTGGCCCGGCGGCGGGGGTGGCGAGGAGGAGGAGGAGGACGCGGCCGTGCTCCTCTGTGTGCAGAACGTGTGCAACGCTGCTTATGCCGCGTGCCTCCTCGCCAAGTGAGCCACGGTAGCGGCCACCAATTCGGTGGCCACCGGTGGCCACCGCCGCCGCAGAGTGCCGTGTTATTATGGTCACTGTTTTTTGTTTAATATCATTATTGTTGTTGTCAATCTTAAGACTTGTTTTGACCCAGGAAAGGTTCTCGCCGAGTCTCAAGACCCTTATTCAGGAGGGCCCTGCCAAGTTTTTTGGGTGGCAATGTCTATGCACTTTCCAATCGAGCGATTTGCCGAGTAAATGACCAACATTTTTGCAAATCTGGAGCCTGAAGCCGACACGCAATGGCCCTCCTCTGCTTTGAGCGATGCCACGGGATCTTTAATGGTCAACACACGCCGCAGTGTTAACCATGGCGGCCTGCCGGATTTCAACCACGGACCCCTGCAGCAACAAGCGGCGAACGCGCTACCACTGAGTAACAACACCAAGGATGATGATAAGAATGTTATCCAGGAAAACCTCACGATTTGTTTTCTTTTTGTAATAGTGTGTGTTTAGAGTACGAGTCAGATAATGCTCGTACAATTCTGCAAAAGCGATTCAGCATTCTTGCAGCTCTCCTGCCATTTCCTGGCCACATCGGAGCATTGCAGAGTGGTGGGGAGAGCCTCAGTTACGCGACCATCCTTGCCTTACCCACGAACCTCCAGAGAGCCGGCTTAGAACACGCGTGTGACGGCTTAGAACACGCGTGTGACGAAATACAGGGTTTCATATTCTTGGTTCTTTCGGTAAAGTCACATAGAAGGGAAACAATAAAATAATGAAAATATAAAACATTATTTTATTGTTTCCCTTCTACGTGATTTTACCAAAAGAACCAAGAATATGAATCCCTGCAGTCACGAACGCTTTAAATAAAAAAAAGAAATACGGGGTGTATAAAAAAAGTTTGACACAATTTCAAAGCAGCATATTTCACGACGGCAACATGTTACAATTACACAAATAAGTCACAAACGGTTTAATGAGTTATCAAGTTTTACTGACCATTTTATAAATCAGTTTAACACGTAGGCTTTCGCGACCAATATTATTCATAATAAAGGTTTTGGGTTAGATCGCGTTATTTATAAATGTGTCATAGCCCTCCACCACCCGACACGGCCAATCAGCAAAAAAAGGTGTCACGTTGACAAAAAAATAGTTTACTACTTTAGCCCACCGGTGTATTGAAGAGTGAATCCACAACATTTACAGTTTGAGTACGACGTTTCGCTGGTAATTACATCCAGCATCATCGGGCAATTCGCCAGAATGGTAAAGCCCTCGCTTGCTCCCGGTCTTAAATATAGCAGCACGGTGACGTCATCATTTAACTCATTTCAGGTGCAGTTATTTGAGGCGGAGGGGGGTGGGTTATTGTAATTATATAATCGATTGGTAATCAGTCAATGGTTATGATTAGTAATGAGTTGTAGATTAGTAATTAGTTGTAATGTGTGTTATTGTGATTATATGCTACATTAGTAATCCGTTAATTACACATAGAGGATTTTATAAATCCTCTTTGTGCCCTCCACCTGCTGTATGGACAACATCGAGACGATAGTTGAATCCGTCCCACACGCCTCTCAAAGTGAAGTCTTCTTCCACTGAAGTCACCGCTGCCGTGATTCTGTTTTTGAGGTCATCCAGATTAGTCGCTAATGGTGGCACAAAAACACCACGGGTCTTTGACGTATTCCCACGAGAAAAAGTCGCAGGGTGTGGTGATGTCTGGGGATCTTGGGGGCCAAGAGTGTAGCGCCAAGTCTTAGGGTCCCGTGCGACCAATCCAACGTTGAGGCAGTGTTGTCTTGCGAATGACTGAGGCTAGGGGCTGTTTGTGCGCTGGGAGAGGCATCTCGCGGTAATCATTTGAAACTCTATGCCGCGCCCTTTCAAGTGGTAAGAGTTTCATTCGTGGGCGGTTCGTGTTTACAGAGATATAGCGATTTCAAATCGGGTCCATCACTTCAAACACCCTGTACTGCAGCCGTGAACCAGTCGCGTGCCATTACAGCCGACGCGAGCCACGGGGGTCCATCGACCGTGGGCGGCACAGTTCTCCGCGGGAAACCCAATCGGGGATGGGTATTCCAATTCTCTCAGATGCGCTTCTGCGGCCGTCTGGAACGCTCTTCCTTCCGATATTACGAAGCCACTGGAGCTGTGCGCTTTTAAATCCGGATTGGAAACTCATTTAATTAGAACTGCTTTTTTTTGTGTGGTTCGTTTGTTGTCCTTCCCCCGCACGTCCGATTTGCACGGTTGGCTACGTACGGTGCATGCATGCATTTCTATATCTACATTGATCCCCAGAGAGGGACCATGGGCTGAGTCGACCCACGGCTTAAGGAAATTGTAATTTTAAACCTCGTGCCTGTGCTTTTTGAGTCCTCAAACCACCCGAAACGAACGCCCCTAGGCTACGTGTAAGCGACGTAATTCGTCTTTCGAAGGGCAAGTGGTTCTATCACGCAGGCGTGATGTGTTTGCCAGGCCCTCCCCGCACTTTCAGGGCAAGCTGTTGTTGATCGTACACCAGAAACAAATGCACAGCGAGTGCTCCCAGGTGGCGATTAATCATCTTGTTAAAGAGAAAGAGGCGGCGCTGTTCACCTGTTGCGCCCCCTCCCCCCCCCCCTTTGGTTCGTGGCGTACACGTTAACCGTGTGGACCTCACGTGGCCGTGGCGGCTCAGTTTGTCCCCGAGTTGCCCACCCGCTTGGGATAACCCCCGCGCCGTGTGCCCACGTAATGCGCGGTTGCATAACCGTCTGGGTAATTGCGCGGTGAATACGCTCCGTTTATGGAACGCACGATGCGAGGCAACCGCTGACCCACGAGCAACTCTGCACTGACCTGCATGGCAAAGACTCGGTCGTTGATAAAAAAAAAAACTGAAAATAGGGGAGGGGGGGGGGAGAGAAGTACATTTAGAACAGGGAAGGTACCACGCCGTACAGTGCGGTGTTTGTGAATGTTCGATCAAAATCTATAACAATTCATGAGAAAAGCAAAGTCGTAAGAACAAAAGAGTATGGGCCGGAAAAGCAGAAGTTTAAACAATAAGCGCACAGAAACGTGCACACAAACCACACACAGCCTCTGTGCATTATGTCATACAAATCATCATCATCATCAGCAGCAGCAGCTCTATGAAGAAATGCATTGTGGTCTTCACAGTCATCATCACCGGTTTCATCCGCATTCAGAGTCATCATCTTTCTCAGTCAGCATTGGTGACTAAAACCGTGCTGATGAGTCCTCATAGGGACTAAACCAGTCCACAGTTGTCTGTCACTGTGTAACTGCCGCTTCGAGTCTTGTAACTTTTGTACATTTTACAACAGGGTCGCCAGATCTCCGAGGGCTTGACGTCTCTCTACAAAGCTGCACCTTGTCGTGCGCGGTACGGTGGCGCAGTGCGAGCACGCCGCGTGCCCCTTGGCTACAAGCGCCTGGGTTTGATTCCCGACTCGGATGCCTTTGTGCGTGTGGAATTTGTATGTTCTCCCCCTGTTCTGCATGGGTTTCCTCCCGATTCTCTGGTTTCCTCGCGTAGCTTAATAATCAATCCGATGTAACTGTCCTTTGCTAAACACTCCCAAATGCTGAATGGTTACCTGCACATTTCTCAATTGGGATTACACACAGAGAAACCTCGCGCCTCCCCCCTGCCACCCTGCTGTGACAATGTTGGCTTCACCCGTCTGACAAATAGTCTTGAGACTCGGCGAGGCTTTCCTGGGCAAACAAGCAGAATAATAACAACAATACGACTAAGAATGTCCGGTATAATGTTCTCTCAACTAGGGTCCAGTCCGTAACTTACAAAGCGACGGATGACGTTGACTTTGACGACTGTCTATGATGTATCTCACTCGTCACACGCCTGCCCCTATCTGTGTATCGCCTACAGAGGAGGCGGAGGAGGAGGAGGCCTGCACAAATGCACGCCTGACCTTCTCAAGAAGGCCGCGGTAAGGGGTGAACACGGAACGACCGCCGCACACCGTGAATATTCAACGGGGACGGCGATGGCGCAACGCGGGCAATGAATGCGCGTCAACAGAACGCACGCACGCATCATTAGGAGAACAAAAGAGGGGGTATGCAAATGTTCGGGGAGAGAGAGAGAGAGAACACCGGGCAGGCCTGAATTGTGGGGTGATCGCAAACTCTTGAATATGCATCGCCGGGAAATGTTTTCGAGGTGCGCTGCGTTGATATTCGCGCGCGCGTTCGTCTCAATTTTTCCACTCTGTTTCCGATAAACTGAAACTTAAGCTTTATTTTTTTTTTAGATATACCACCACCAGGTCAGGTATCACTGAGCTCTGCAGCCCTTTTTTTTCAGAAGCGACCTGGCCACAAATGATAGGCCGACGAATTGGCTTATAATGTGCAAATGTATAGCAGCCAAATACTCTTAAGCACATGTTTATAGATGTGGAGGAAAGAAAACCGGAGGACCTGGAAAAAAAATCCACGTGACCACGGGGAGAACATGCAAACTCCAAATATACAGTAGCAGGCGTCAGGGTTAGGATCGAACCCACGACCTCCTGCATACCAGGCGAGGTCGTTAACATCTCCTAGCCACCGTGATGATGATGATGATGAGAGAGACAGACACACTCCAAATATACAGCAGCAGGCGTCAGGGTCGGGATCGAACCCACGACCTCCTGCATACCAGGCGAGGTCGTTAACATCTCCTAGCCACCGTGATGATGATGATGAGAGAGACACACAAACTCCAAATATACAGCAGCAGGCGTCAGGGTCGGGATCGAACCCACGATCTCCTGCATACCAGGCGAGGTCGTTAACATTTCTCCACCGCGTCTACGCTGTCAATACTACCCGATGTCTCACCGTGACCGCTGCTACCACAACCGTGCTTGTCCATTCACATCGCGGAGCAACTCAACGTTGCCCAGAGCGATAAGCCCATTGTTCTCCAGCGGTTAACTTTGGGCACTGCCACAGTGGCTATTTCAAACGATGAACTCGTTTTTAATCCAGGATAATTTCTCGCTGCCATTGCGCATTCGCGCTCGCATTATTACAGCGGCAATGCTATCCCAAAGAAAGCCGCGATGTTGCACAGACACAGACACAGTCTGCAGTAGTTTCAGTCTCGGGGGTGGGGGAGGGGGGGGCACATCTTGCTTCGTGTAATCCCAATCGAGTAATTTTCCAAATTTTGAAGAAAAAAAATTGGACTATGACGTCAGCACACAGTGGCCTACCGTTTTCGAATGATGTCACGGGGCTCCTCTTTAACGTGTGTTGCACTTCTTTCGCACCGTACGTAGTCAACCGTGCTAACCGGAGGTGCGGGGGGAAGGACAACAGACGAACACACGCAAATCTGAAATGAGTTTTAAATCTAAATGATTTAAAAGTGCATAGCACCGGTGGCTTCCAATATCGGAAAGAAGAGCGTTCCAGACGGCCGCAGAAGCGCATCTGAAAGCGCGCGATGCGGTGACTGCTGCCTTTGTTCGATGGCCAGCCAGAATCTGGTTTATGCCCCTCGACGAGCTCAGCCAAGGTATTGTGATTCATCTGTTATAACCAGGGCGGTACTGCCACATTCGAACCCGCGAGCCTCCGCAACAACGCCATCGAACGTGCTCCAAGCCCGCTCACCCCGTTTCCCTCCGCGGGTCTCTTTGCCTTCCTGGTCGCGCCCCTAATTTGGGGGGTTCAGTCTCTGCCTTGACAAGGGAGCCGTGGGATGCTGCTCGTGGCTGTGAACCCGCGCGTTCCGCCTCGAGCGTGTGCAGTGTAGTGGGGGGCGGTTGTGCGGCGGTTAGCGAGCTGCGTTACCAGCCTCGGCCGCCGGGGTTCGATTCCCGCTCACGGTCCACATCAGTGACGATAATGTTGAATCGAATTTTGATTTACAGCTTTCGTGACTGCAGTAATTCATATTCTTAGCTCTTTCGGTAAAGTCACGTTGAAGGGAAATAATAAAATATGTATAAAACAATAAAATTCTCACGACGTTTCGACCATAACACAAACGGTCATCATCAGGTGTGAAAACTAACGGCAAGCAATCGCTGCCCGTGGTGCTAACGTTTAAAAATAAAATAAATGCAAACCGCCACTTCTTTCAAATGTTTCTTGCCGTTGGTTTTCACACCTGATGATGACCGTTTGTGTTATGGTCGAAACGTCGTGAGAATTGTATTGTTTTATATATATTTTATTGTTTCCCTTCAACGTGACTTTACCGAAAGAGCTAAGAATATGAATATTGAATCGGTTCTGGGCCTCCCCTAGGTGGACTCGGCCTCAAGCGATCAGCTGATGCGGGTGTGTGAACATCGCCACTGGGGAGACAAAGGCGTCCGGGCGTGGTGTTTGCCAGCCCACCCTCTCGTGTGCCGTGCCGGCCTTCATCAGTGCTGCTCGCTTACAGCACCTGCCCCAGTCGCCTGGTTAAGGCTACATGCGGGATCTTTGGCTCCGAAGCACGTTGCGTGCATTAGCATGAAAGAGAGAGCGAGAGAGAGCTGTGCGTGGAGATGTCAGCGGTTTTTGTTCCCCGAGGGTCTATGTTGAGGTGTAAAAAAAAAACAGACACTCGTGGGCAGATCCAGTGGCAACGCACAATTGGGGGAGTCGTTTAGCGCTTCGCGAACGGGTGCTGACCAAAGGCGCAGCCCTGCAATTGCTTGCTCACGCCACTGCTGACGGAAAGGGGCCTCCGCTTCGAAGGAGCTCTAGAGGGGCTGTGTTTTTGTTCTAGCAGGTGTGTGTGTTTGGTAGAGGTGGGTATACCCACACGTCATCACATCACCACACGCAAAACCTGCGCATCGACTATGGCGGTGAACCCATTTATACCGGAGGCGATTTGAGAAACGTGCCCCCCACCGTTGTGTCGATTGCCACGCTTGAAGGCGGAGTCGAACTGGACGACCAACCCCTCGGTTTCTCGAGTCGCCCCAGTGTGCAGGAGCGAGATGGATTGTGGCATCGCAGGACCGTGATGGGTAGTGAAGGCGTGCGAAGACCTTCATCCAGCATTGCGAAGGCTCTATAAGTCATCTATTTTAAAGAAAACAAACCTGTCGTGATCTTTTTTTTAACGTATATACAAGTTCTAAAAAACATGCATCTTGCTTTACATTGTTCAGAAGCAACGGATGTAATAATGAAACATCCCTTTCATTGCTCATGCCTCCACAGGTACTTGCAGATGAGTGCGTGAAGTTGTCATCCTTGTTGGAAAACATTGTGAGTAAGGTATAAAATCGTGGGCTTTGCTGTTTTGCAAGACGTGGTTTGGTTTACTCCGCACAGATTCGTGAAGCGTTTAAAAGCTCCGATTCGCACGGTTGGCTAACGTGCGGCGCGAAAGAAGTTCAACATAATACTCCATAGGTCCAAGACAGTTCAACAGCGGAGCGTGCAATGTATCCTTATTAAAATCAGCTGATCCATGCTCTACCACTTACCACAATAGAACTCTCACCTCATTATTATTATTATTACACGTGTCTACCCAGGACAGGCTCTTGCTGCTCAACTCCTTTCAACAGGGTCCTGCTAAGTTCCCACAATTAAGTAATTTTACAAGTCGCTTTTGGACCACGACGCTGGCAAATTTCGATCACGTATAAAATTTTCTCTTAAGAGTATTAACCAGGGCGGCCTGCCGGAATGCGACCGCGAGCCTCTGCAGCAACCGCCTACCATGCTCCCGCTGGGCCATGCACCGCCTCCTTTAAATCAGCACGCCCTGGTAACAGTGCCGGATTATCCTCGTAGCAAAAGTAGCTACTACTAATGTAGCTACGTGCCCCGCACTTTCAAGGGCCCCGCGCTAAACGCTTTCAAGCTATCAATTCCGGTTAAGTGATTCTGCACTTGCTCTATTACCATAGTACTATACCGCCTTCATCTTTTATGATCGACTGGGTGTTTAAGGTTAGCGATTTGTCGTATTATCTGGCTGTATAGCAAATGGAAAAATACAAATACTTTACTACGCGAGTTAAAAAAATGTGTTTTAATATTTATTATGGTAATTTAGGGACCCTTTATAACTTATGCTACAGGCCCCGCACTAACAACAACCTTCGTTACGTGATATATTATTCTCAACGGCTGTAGCTGAACCCCTCGGATACAACGTATGATGCGTTTCGGCATTTTCACATCAATATTTTTTTTCTTCATAATTTGAAAGTGAAGTTTTTTTTTTCCCTCTCATTCATTCGTACCTGATGATGGTTGCTTGTGTTGCAATCGAAACGTCGTATTCTATTATTATTTAACTTCTTTTCTTTCTACGCGACTTTACCGAAAGAACCAAAAGTGTAAATCCCTGCATGTCACCAAAGCTTCGAATCCACTTTGAAGTTTTCAACTCACAGGATGTTTCGTGAACGATTTGGGCAAAAACCCGCGAACGAAGGACGCTGCGCATCTTAAATATTGACGAATGACCCATCGATCACCGCCGCGTGGGTGTTGGGGCGTGTTGTCCGAGTCGTGCTTTTACCGCTCGCACGATGTCCGCAGCAGATGTTCCCACTTTGCCCTACGGCGTGACCGCGAGCTTCTTACAGCCCAGTCGCTGACGGAGCTGGCCGGGGCCGGCGCGGAGCGAAACGTCGGGACAATCGCGGCGAGCGTGTCTGCACGCGACTGTGCGAGCCGAACACACAAGAGGCAAAGATCCCCCGTATAGCCTCAGCAGACTGTTGGGGCAAGTGCTGTTAGCGAGCACCTGATGAAGGCCAGAACGGCACAACGAGGGTGTGGGTAGGTGGCCAGCACCACGCCCGGCCGCCTTTGTCTCCCCAGCGGCATTACGCACCGCACCAGGTACTCATTTGAGGCTGAGTCGACCTAGGGGAGGCCCATGACCGGTTCAGATAATCGTCGCTGCGTGTCGGCCGTGAGCGGGAATCGAACGCGGGTCGCCGGGTTCGTAGCGCTAACTGCTACACTACCGCTCCCCATACGCACCACACACACGCCACGCACACACCACACACACACCACAACACATCACACACCACAAACACACCACAAACACACCACATACACCCCACACACACCCCACACACACCCCACACACACCCCACACACACACCACACACACACCACACACACACCACACACACACCACACACACACCACACACACACCACACACACACCACACACACACCACACACACACCACACACACACCACACACACACCACACACACACCACACACACACCACACACACACCACACACACACCACACACACACCACACACACACCACACACACACCACACACACACCACACACACACCACACACACACCACACACACACCACACACACACCACACACACACCACACACACACCACACACACACCACACACACACCACACACACACCACACACACACCATATACACCACACACCACACACACCACAAACACACCATATACACCACATACACCCCACACACACACCACACACACCACAAACACACCATATACACCACACACACCACACACACACCACAAACACACCATATACACCACACACTCACCACATACACCCCACGCACACACCACACACACACATCACACACCACACACACACCACAAACACACCATATACACCACACACTCACCACATACACCCCACACACACCACACACATATCACACACCACACACACACCACAAACACACCATATACACCCCACACACACCACACACACACCACACCACACACACACCACACACACACCACACACACACCACACACACACCACACACACACCACACACACACCACACACACACCACACACTCACCACACACACCCCACACACACCCCACATACACCCACATACACACCACACACACACACACCACACACCACACACACCACAAACACATCACACCACACACAGACACACCGGGAGGGAGAGCGATAACTCAACGGACGAGGTCATCGCGTAGTGGAACCCCACGCTGACCTCTCTCTCCCCACCCACTCCACCCCTGCCCACAAATCGGAATCTGTGCGGATCTGTCACCGGGGTGCCGGCGGGGCTCGGGGCGGTCTCAGCTGGCGCGCGGCAAGGGGCGAGCGCGGCTGGGGGCCGGCGTGGAGCAGGCGAGGCTTTGCGTGGAGCAGGCGAGGCTGTGCTTGACGGCCGTGCGAGACGCAAGCGCTGTCCCTGTTCAGGAGGCAACTGCGAAGGTAACTCTGGTGGTGGTGGGGTGTGGTGGGGGATGGTGGAGGGGTGCTGGAGAGAGGAGGCGAGCCGAGCGCTCCGGCCAGGTTCACTGAGGACACCGATTTGTGAAGGTTGCTGTGGAGGAAGCCAGCAACCCCGGCTGTGTGTGTTGGGGGTTTGTGTTTATGCTCTACGGGTGCAATAGAATGGGGGAAACATTTTGATGATTGATATTATCGTCGTCGTGATGGTGGTTAGCGTGATGTTGATTCTAAATGTGGAGGGGAAAAACCGGAGGATCCGGAGAAAAATCCACGCGGCCACGGGGATTCCAAATTTCGAGGCATGCGGGGTCAGGGTCTCACCCATGCGCTCCTGTTTCCCATGCGAGATAGTTAACATCTCACCACCGTGGCGCCCTATATAAACATGGACAAGCGTAAGCTATTTGATCAAACCATATATTTTGATCATATGTGAAGTTAACATTAAATGAAAATACCATATGTTTTTTACAAATACGTAAACATACAGTATTTTACGCACGTGTATGCGCAACATCAATTGCCGATGAACGGACTTGCCGCATTTGCGCTACCTGCGCGGCGTTTTCACGGCCGCCCTGTCCCGTTGGTACCGCGTGCCGTTTCGTCGTGGCGTCCGACGTTTCGGGAAAGGGAGCTCCGTCCGTTCGTGCCGGGAGCGAATCGTTGGGCACGCGCGCGTGGTACACCCCCCCCCCCCCCCCCGCCCGCCCGCCCGCCCCGGGAGCAACTTCGCGTGAGGTGCCCCCGTGCCTCGTTTCAGGTCGCGGACGTGATGCAGGCGGCGGAGGACTTGCTGGCAACGCTCCTGCCCACCGTGCAGATAGCTCGGACGTTGAAGGAGAAGGTAAACAACAGCAGCAGCAGCAGCGGCGGCGGAAAAACAACACTCCAAATGCAGTCTCCCTCGCTACAGAGCGGCACGTGGTTCCTGCCGGTCGCGCGCATCGCTCGCCACGAGGTTCCGTCGCCAATTTTGATCATTGCCCGAGCAATGATCAAAATTGCATGATTGCAACGTGTTTGATGGCCACTGTTCATTGTTTAAAACGAATACCTTTAATCCGAACGGATAATGTTCAGTTTTCTAAAAAAAAGCAGTCCCAAAGTACTCTCACCCAACTCTTTGTGTCCTTTCAACACATGTTTCAAATTGTCGCAAAATGTTACGATAGCGATGATGCAGAATGTTAAGTTGCGAAATTACATATTTACGGTGGGGGGGGGGGGGGAAAGCCAACGAAACGTATTTATTTCAACGCTACCAAGGCTTTTAACGACACGTATCACACCCTCAGCAGTACAAGAATGATCGTCAATGACCCGTTTGTATGTAATTACAGATGGGAGCGTAGCAGCGTTCAGATTCACCTGGCCCCATGGAGACAGCGGAGGCAACCTCCCATGGGGCCCAAGCGACCCCAGCAAACACACGAGCGCAAGTGTTCATCATCCAGACCTCTGGCTCCAAGCACCATCATCACCACCGTATGATTGCAATGCCACTGTCAGCGTGCCGAATGTGTGCGGCCGCCGTACGTGCTTTTCCTACACTGGACCATTAAAACAAGGCTTTAATGGTCCAGTGCAGATTTCCACAATCCCACATGTGACTCATCCCCCCCCACCCCCCGTGTTTACCATCATACTGGGTTCCTCCCCCCCCTCCTCTACCACATGGATCTTGTTTTATCCGTCGTCTCCGTGGTGTTCCGATCCTTTTCTGTTGATGTGCTTCACTCTCCAGCTTATTGAGATGCAATTTGCATGAATTATGCCATATGAGATTAATAAAGGCGCGGGGGTGCTACAGTGCCTATGAAAAATGATCGGCAGTCCATGTATTATCCACAAATGAAACCGACACAAATCAATTGGGAAAAAAGTTATTGTAATTACATTTAGATCTCTGCTGTACAGTACTCATAAAAATACCCGAATGCAGATTTGAGCTAATGCAAAAGGTCACAGCTATTAATATATATTTAATCGCATTGGTTTTATTTATTCATCAACATTTAAGCAGCTGCTTCCAACATATTAAAGCCACAAAAAACACCTATTACACTTACAACAAACCCACAAGTAAACGTATATGCCTCTGATATAATCTCTGGAATATATGTTGAGCTTTCCCAAGATCACGATACTTATCTGTTTACAAACAATTGCACTTTCTTCCCCTAACCCCGCACTACCCAAAAAAAATAAGCTTTGGCATTGATTGGCGAGCTGTAATTAAAATTCCACAGGGCCTGCCAATCTTACTGCATCCCATTTGCGCAATTTATTCAATGTAATTGATCACGAAGCCCGCCACTCAGACCGACTTAGAATTTCTAACACTTAATAAAGCACCACACACTTAACACTGGCTTTAGTTTAAAAAAAAAACATTTTTTTAAAAAAATATCTACTCTTTATAACGCTTCTAAAACAGATTTTCTCGTTTTCAAAATAGTGTGATTAGGTCACGCTGAAACGTGACGCATCTCTAGGGCGGTCGGGGAAAAAGTTCAAACCAAACCACTTTGCTTAACATTGGCAGGGATGCATTTGGCAGCTACATTCAGTATTTATCCACGCGACATCAATAAAATATACAGATGAATAGCAGCAACTTAAAAATGCAATAAATATTAAAGAAATAATTGCTAAACGACCACAGCTTCCCTAAGCGAGTTTTAAAAATCAATTTGTACACAGGCCTTAAAATCATTACCATTAGTCTTTCCATCATTCATGGGCCTACTCTAGCAAGCGACTCGATAAGTTAAAGATTTACTTCATGCTGTCGTCATTCACGGCGTTTGCATGTTGTAGCTCACAATGACATCGACTTCACAGTGATAACAACAGGCCAGCAGATAACAAATAATGGCTCTACAATCACCGCTGGGTTCAATCACTGTTGGGATGTAACCCGCACCCCCTCACAGGGTGCAAGTAACCCAATTATTAGGACACACCTCAAGTCGCAGTCTCCGTTACCAATAACATCGCACGGGAGGCATCAACAGGATTATTGGACAGTGCACTCGCTCGCGTACGTTGCAACACCTTACATCCCCGGCGATATATACACCATCGGGGCTCCTAAAAAACAGCCGCGATTACACAAACTCAACCTCACCAACCTCCCCCCCCTCCCCATTCGTCTCGACCCGACTTGCAGGACACGTAGTAAACAATTTAAATCAAACCGTTCTCATTCATTCAAGTAAATTGCACCTTCAATCGTATTTTTCGACATCTGCGACTGCTGCGTAAATTATGCTGGATTAGGGCTCATTATAAGAATTAACCTTACAGCGAACACGAGGTGAATCGTAACATAAACCCTCCCCCCCCCCCCCCAAAAAAAATAAAAAAAATCTGCAGGTACACGATAATTACAGTCGTATCATAAAAGGGTTTAAAACCGGTCTTGGAGGAGCGTCAATCAAGGTTAATACTTCACAGTAACCGTGCACTGCTACAATCGATACCCAACAATTGTGGTTTGGGAGTAACGGAATTTTGCCCCTTTGCTTTGAACATCGGCGATTCCCCACCAAGCTACAGCCCTGCATGTAAATGGCAACACATGTTATATAGCAAGTGAATGGCACGTGTGTGTGTGTGTGTTTGCGCGCACGTGTCATCAATAGCCATGAGTTACGGAAACAATGAAGGCACGATCGTGAATTACACAGCGAGTGACTTGTTCAGCAAATGTTATTTTTCGGTAACGTGTTCGGCAACATTTTAAAAAAAAGATAGAAAAATGGGTGATGCAAACGCACCATTTACATTCAAGGGTTTCTCGTGAAGTCTTGACGGTCACAGCAGCCTCCAAACGGCCAGAGCGCTGTCCTGAGTAGTGCGGCCTGCAGTGTTTAAAAGTGAGCAGTTGCCGTGAGCTGGTCCAGTCTGACGCGAGTCAATGCAGCCTAGCAATGTGTGAAAGCTCCAACTACTTTCACCGCTCATGTAGCAAACGACTTTGGCAGTAAATGGGCAAAAATAAATGTCCCACCTAATTGGGACCAATGTACCTCGGACAGCCGGTGCTGAATACTGAAACAAGCACCCAATAGACCGCCATACCTTGTTGGCCGCGTGGAGAATATTGAATGGCCTAACCAATTGCTGCAAAAGGAATTGGCACTCACACTTTGGGTCACACCACGTTCAGATCCAAGAGAGAAAAGATTGTCTTTTTTTTTTCTTTTTCCCTTCCCAGAGTAAAGTTTTTTTGCCTCCGACCGGCTACATCTTGATGTCCTCCAGTTGGCTGAGTTGGGAGAGGGACTTTTTGACGCGCAGGGCGGTGAGGCGGGCGGAGGCGTTGGCATACCAGCACTCGCGCATCACTCTCCCCATCACGCGCAGGCTCTGCGAAACGGCAGCACAAACACAGGGCACGGTCAAGGCGGTTGAGGCGACTCGTTCTCCGCTTGTTGCCGAGGTTCGTGGTTCGAATCCAGGCAGGCCGCTCTGGACAATACCGCAGCTGGATCGTGTGTATAATGTGTGTGTGTGTCGTCCACCACTTCACGTGGCCTCAAGGTGCACATAGCCTGGCACGAGCGTTGTGGTGACGTCACCGCCACTTAGTGGCGAATGGCGGTTGTTGTTGTCGTCCCCACTTTTCCGCTATGTGTGTGTGCATGCTGAAATTCTTTCGCACCGTACGTAACCAACCGCGCTACAGCCCATGCTGTAGGCAAGTGTGTGCCGGCATCGCGTTACAAATTATAAAATGTACCCCCCCAAAATAATCTATTTGAATCAAGCAACATTGCACCTCCGATTAGCACGGGCGGCTATGTACGGTGCGAAAGAAATTCAACATACATACATCATTGGACCTTTTGGCCAGTATCAAAGTATGAAAAATAAGACTAGGGTTTACCCTTTCTGGCAATAAAACAGTTATTAAGATGTTCAAACACCAAAATAAACCTTTCCCAATGTCTGCATTAACCACACGTACTTGTGGTGAACATGCAAACTAAAGGTATCGAACCTATTCTTGTCTTTTCATATCGGTTTGTTGTTTCAACCTCTTAACACCCGTTGTGTTTTATTGCCAGAAAGGGTCAATCCTATTCCTATTATACGTACATTGCTGCCCCCACCCACTCCACTGCAACAACATGGCAGGCTGTGGAACGTGGCACCTTTGTGACAGCCCCGGTGCTACGAGAATGGCCCGAATACCAAACAATGTACTCGCGGTGATGCGGTCAAAAGTGATTTCCTGCTCACGTGTGCACAAGCGGTGCTCATCACCAGTATGCCACCCGGAGCCAGCAGTGGAAATTCCGCATTACTTTGGCAGGGGGCGAGTTTATCCGCAGGAAGACCAGTATTGACTTCTCCCACAAAGCAGTACCCCCCCCCCCCCCACACACACTTTATCGACCCAGGAGGGATGATAAAATAATTTTGTTTTACTATTTTTATTTCAGCAGGTAAGGCCCACCGAGATATATAGCAGCTCTTTTTCACAAGTGACCTGGCCACAAATGATAGCTCAACGAAGTGGCTTTTCACGTGGACATGCATTGTAGCCAAGAACTCTAAACGCACGTCGATTCCAAATGTGGAGGGGAAAACCGGAGGACCGAGAAGAATGCACACGACCACAGACTCCAAATATACAGCAGCAGGCGTCAGGGTTGGGATCAAACCCACGACTTCCTGTATAGGAGGCGAGGTAGCTAACATCTCACCACTGTGGCACCCGTCAACCCCCGAACCAGGAACTGAACTCGCAACCTGTTGTCTTCAAGATGCACGACGCACAGGCGTGGTGTGCGTCTACCGCAGTCGCCGCTACCTCCTCCAGTGGGAGGAGATGCGTCGTCAAGGCGAAAGAGCCCCAAGTGCCCCCACCCCTCTCCGCTACTCCAATGTGCACTCAATGAGAGTGCGCTCCTGCCTAATTTGACCATTCCAGGAATGGACAAATCCACCTTCAGGTTTTTTTACGCGTGCCCTGCTACCGATGCAGTTCTCTTAAATTTTTACGTGAAATTAAGGATTCAATAAAAATATGAGCACAGCGTCTTCTATCGGTGTTCCGAAAGTGACAACAGTGTTTTAATTTTCCTTGGTTGACAATGGCTGTGTTATACGGCAATCGTAAAATTTGGTATCGGTTATGCAGGGCGGTGGAACTCGGGTGGTCTTGAGTGACTGTCAAAGGTTAAATCGCACCATATGCAGGCAACAACAAGCACTATGCCGCTTGGGCATGTGTGATTGTATACAAAAAGAGAAAGGTTCCCGTATATCCTCAACAGACTGTCGGGGCGAGTGCTTACAGCGAGCACCTATGAAGGCCGGCAACGGCACACGACGGGGTGGGTGGCCAGCACCACCGCCTTTGTATCCCCAGCGGCGGCGTTTTTACACACTGCACCAGGTACCCGTTTGAGGCTGAGTCGACCTCGGGAGATGCCCAGGACCGGTTTAGATGTTCGTCACTGATGTCGATGCCGCGAGCGAGAATCGAACTCTGGCAACTGGGTTCATAGCACAGCGCACGAACCACGCACGCGTACCTCGGAGCTCTGCCAGCGGTTGGGGACGTTAGGCCGGAGACTCTGCTCGCACACGACCCTCCGCATGTCGTCCACGGAGGGGTCTGGGGATACCATGTCATGGTACGGCAGCTGGTAGTCCTCGGTAATTCCTGCAAAGAGAAGACTTCTTAGGACTTCAGCAAGCTGCGGCATTTGCCAAATTCTTTGGCACGTGTCGTTGACGGGGTACTTGCAAGATCCGGAACCCGTGTCCGTCCGGTGCTTGCCGAGCTGCATTTGGCTTTCAGGTTGCTGAACGGATTCGTGATAAGCTCGCGCTCGTTACGCACAAAGCGCTTGCCACAAATGAACCACAATAGCTTTATCTCGTCACTGGAGCATAAACCCGTCACGAAACCTCCGGTCATTCTCGCAGCGACTTTTTGGCTAACCATCGAACAAAGTCGGTCGCTCCATCGCGCCCTTTCAGATGCGCTTCTGCAGCTGTCTGGAACGCTCTTCCGTCCGATATTAGGAATCCACTGGAGCTGTGCACTTTTGAACCTAAAATGAAAACTCATTTCTTGAGAAGTGCTTTTTGTGTTTTAGTTTGGTGTCCTTCCCTCGCATCTCTGATTAGCACGACTGGCTGCGCACGGTGGGCGAAAGAAGTTCAACATACATATGAAGATTTAGTTTTTTTATTTGAATGTGCGTGCGTATCAATGTCATATGAAGAAAAAAAAATCTCACTACCATCCTGTATTGTCGCTGCCTCATAACTCAATACATTTGGTAATCACTATATCATTCTTATGGTGCAAGGTTAGGATGAAGGAATTTGATGTTTTACAATGGCAGTCTGCAGTAGTTTCACCGGAGGTGAGTGATGTTGCCGTTTTTTCCCCGATCGAGTATTTTCCGGGTTGTTATTTGAATTTGGCAAATTTGGGCAATGAACACCATCAAATAATGGTCTACGCCATTAGACCTCCTTTGCCAGTACCAAAATATAATCATTAATGGGGTTTTCCCCCTTTTTTCTGGCAACAAAACTGAAACCTGTGCATTAACCACAATACTTGTGGTCAAAATGTTTTGTGGTTAATGCACACATGATTCCTGGTAAAAAGGTTTCAGTTTTGTTGCCAGAAAACGGGGAAAAACCCTATTATTAATGGTCTACGCGCTTTTTAAATGACATCACGGGATATAACTCCCACCACGAAGAAGACCGCGCATATTTAACAGTTCATATTTAACAGTTACTATACCCGCAGCAATTAACCAGGGTGGCCTGCCGAATTCCAACCATGAACCTCAGTAACAAGGGGCCCAATGTGCTGCTGAGCTACACCACCACTCCAGTAGAAAATAAATAAATATTCAGTGCGTGCCAGGCAAGATCCCTATTTTAGAGTCCAGTTATTAGCCAGCAAAGTTTATTATTCGGCAATGTTAAAGAACAGGATGATGTGTCATAGGTCTCTGCTTGTATATCATTACCAATTCAGGGCCGAAAGGATTTTTCGCACATCAATTGGTAGTTGGTTTCTGTGCACACATCCAGTCAAATCCACGACGTGACAACCAATAACTTGTGCCCAAAAGAACCTGCATCACCACCAACAGGGCAATGTTTTGCAGCCGTGAGGCCAGATACGCAGATATGTACTTCACTGGCAATGACCACCGAAAATTAAGTAGCAAAGAACTCCCGAGAGTTTCACACAATTGCTAAGAGATGTATTACAGTCGTGACGGTTACCCAAATCAAACCCGAACCCTAATCCACTCTCAGTGGTGCATTTGCAAGCAGACTTTAAATGGGTCTCCAGTACCACCAATCACAACGCATTACAACAAACAAACAAAAAGTTATCTAAAGTTTTGTGCAGTTGCCTACTTTGGGAGCATGGGGACTGCTTTGCCATTGCCTGCACCGTTACCCTCCCATAGTTCTGTTATGCGATGAGGCAGCATGTTAAACACTGTGACGGTGGGTTTCTGTGTTTGCCTCCAGCAACGATCGGGTTTCGTACGCTTCAATGAGCCACGCTGGCTACATTTCCAAATTCCTAGGTGTGCACGTGCGCAGCGCATCGCTTGGCTCCACCAACAACAGCACACTGGCACACACTGGTACAAAAAGACAATGATACCCCCCCCCCTCCCCACCACCACCACCACCGTATAGCCTTTAACAGACTTGTAGGGGCAAGTGCTGTTAAGCGAGCACCCTCTGAAGGCCGGCACGGCACACGAGGGGGCGTGGGTGGTCAACACCACGTCTGGACCACCTTCATCTCCCCTGGTGCTGATGTTTATACAGCCAATTTCGACCAACGGGAGCCTCACGACCGGTTCAGATATTTGTCACAAAATGTGAGGCTGTGAGCGGGAACCAAAGACCAGTATTGACTTCTCCCACAAAGCAGTACCCCGACTTTATCGACCCAGGAGGGATGATGAAATAATGTTTTACTATTTTTATTTCAGCAGGTAAGGCCCACCGAGATATAGAGCAGCTCTTTTTCACAAGTGACCTGGCCACAAATGATAGCTCAACGAAGCGGCTTTTCACGTGGACATGCATTGTGGCCAATAACTCTAAACGCACGTCGATTCCAAATGTGGAGCGTGAGAAACCGGAGGACCGAGAAGAATGCACACGACCACAGACTCCAAATATACAGCAGCAGGCGTCAGGGTTGGGATCAAACCCACGACCTCCTGTATACGAGGCGAGGTAACTAACATCTCACAACTGTGGCACCCGTCAACCCCCGAACCAGGAACTGAACTCGCAACCTGTTGTCTTCAAGATGCACGATGCACAGGCGTGGTGTGCGTCTACCGCAGTCGCCGCTACCTCCTCCAGTGGGAGGAGATGCGTCGTCAAGGCGAAAGAGCCCCAAAGTGCCCCCACCCCTCTCCGCTACTCCAATGTGCACTCAATGAGAGTGCGCTCCTGCCTAATTTGACCATTCCAAGAATGGACAAATACAGCAAGGTCTTGGCGCTGTCCTCATTATTAACATATCCTTATAACGGAGAACCAGTGGAATTTTATTTGGTGCAGAGATTTTAAAAAAGGGTCATTGTCTGAAAATGCGACCTCATTCGGTATTTATTTTACGTTGACCGACGATGGACGAGCCACCTTCAGGTTTTTTACGCGTGCCCTGCTAAGGATTCAATAAAAAATATATGAGCACAGCGTCTTCTACCGGTGTTCCGAAAGTGACAACAGTATTTTAATTTTCCTTGGTTGACAATGGCTGTGTTATACAACAATCGTAAAATTTGGTATCGGTTATGCAGGGCAGTGGAAACAGGGTGCTCTTCAGTGACTGCCAATGGTTAAATCGCACCATATGGAGGCCACAACAAGCATTATACCGCTTAGGCGTGTGTGATTGTATACAAAAAGACAAAGGTCCCCGTATAACCTCAACAGACTGTTGGGGCAAGTGCTTATAGCGAGCACCTATGAAGGCCGGCAACGGCACACGACGGGGTGGGTGGCCAACACCACCGCCTTTGTATCCCCAGCGGCGGTATTTTTACACACCGCACCAGGTACTCATTTGAGGTTGAGTCGACCTCGGGAGATGCCAAGGACCGGTTTAGATGTTCGTCTGTGAGCGGGAACCAAACTTGGCTCGACAAGTCCGTTTCGTAGAGCAGTGCACTAACCACGACACCACTGGCACACTCACTGGCTCCAATCCAGGGCTTTCCGCAAAAATTATTTCTGAGCTGTTGGGCTAGGCGTGTGCCTTCACCTGCCATTCAGATATCAATGCATGAATATGCAAATACCCAAACGACACTACAGTGACACAGGGACTGATGAATAAGGCAAGTCAATGCTTCCACGAATCCTCCCATTGCAATTCTCTTTCATATTTCTAGGAATCTAACGCTGACTCATGAGTGCCACGGAAGGCGCATTTATGACCGTGCCTTCTCGAGCCCGTGCAATCTGGGATTGCATTATCACGGAACATTTTCTAGAGCTCAGCCCTGGGCCGCTCCTGCTGGTCACACGAAGCCAGGCCTTGCAGTGCGACCTCACCTCCGACAACGCAACGCCGTGAGATCTCCCACAGCACCAGCCCAAAGGCGTAGATGTCTCCGCGCTTGAATGAGTCGAAATGCTTCATGTTGATTGTATCGTCCAGGACCTCCGGTGCCATGTACCTGTTGCAGACGTACGCCACGCGTGGGAATATTTAGGGTCGATTGTGTAAATGAAGGCTAACTAAAAAAAAAAAAACCTCCCACATTTGTCCACTGGCTGTAGACGCTAGGAACAGATCATTACCTTCAACATCCTCATAGAAGCTGGTGCCCAGCGCCAAGAGAAAACTGGAACAGCAATCGTAGACAATGGTAAATTCCCACAAAGTGCTGCTTCGTCTTTATCAATACACCGAAATGACGAGTCAATTCCTCACCGGATTTGAACCCGCAAGTTTCAAGTTTTTTCAAGTTCCATTTATTAGGTATAGCCCTGTGAGCCGTGCGGCCCTTCTGAATGCGCGTTAAGCACTAACCACAGCGCAGCACTTGGCCACAGGTTTTTACACGGAAGGCTGCATGAACGGACCCAGTTTAAAACGAAACGGGAGGTCAAGAGCACCAAAGCTGTCGTCGGTGTTTTGTTCCCATGATGTGGAGCACGGGGTCTCGTACCGTGACCCTGTGTCCTCAGCTAACGTGCAGCCCATGACGACAATGCACCCGACTGTCTTGAATTGCGAAACCTCACCCATTAAGTTGCAGACACGCACAAGTGTTGCTCATCAATATCAGCTGGTCATGTCCGAACAGCTGAAATACAGCATCGTGTGAATATAGATTTCTGTTTTATACGTATGTTATATGTATATGCATCAATCGTTGTAAATTGCCGCACTTCAACTTATTTAATGAATGGAATCCTGATCACGAATTTTCTCTGGGTTACTCTGCGTTGGTGTGTTTTTGCTTAATTATAGCACGGAGTTTGGTCAAGCACGATTGTAAGATTTTGAATTTGTGTGAAAGGGATTGATGTGTTTTAGTGGATCTCACATCAGAGGCGTAGCATTACGGCTCGCCCACCCTGCAGTATCACAGCAGAATTAGCGATTTGACAAACACTACTTGCATTGCGGTGTTATTCATTTTTACGTGATTCACAAACAGCAGACGTCACTTGGGCAATACGAAAATTGGGTCGAATCACTGCCCTATAATGATCTAATGAGGCATCGCTTCACACATTAATGTCACTTCTTAAGCGCACGATACATGGATCGAATTGCACGTGGGGTAATGTTCGTTCTTCCATGCGTGCATGTTGTACTTAACAGGTTAGGTTCACGTGAACTATCCAACCCCAAGAAGCTGGTACGTTCGCCAGAACGTAGAATAAAGAATTGATTCTTGAATCAATCCGCAAAGTCGAGTCACACAAATGTACAGACTAAAGACGGTCGCAACCAGGGGATCGAATTGGTAACGAAAAGAAAACATCTCTATGCTGATAAAAAAAATTCTGAAAATTATTCAACTGGGATTACACAGAGCAGCATAATCCATTAGTGTGAAAAACTGGCAGGACCCTCCTGGGAAAAAAGGAGTCTTGGAGAGTCATCAAGACTTTCCTGGGTAAACAAGCCTAAGAGTAAAATAACAATATATTAGTGCTTGCTGAACTGCATTGGCTTCTGCGGCCATATGGAATGCTCTTCCATCAAATATTAGGAAGCCACTGGAGCTAAGCACTTTTAAATCTAGATTGAAAAATAATTTCTTTAGAACCGCTTTTTGCGTTTCGTTTTCTGTCCTTCCACTGCACCTCTGATTAGCATGGTTAGCTACGTACGGTGCGAAAGAAGTTCAACACGCATACGTAAGCGCATTATTATCCGGAGCAGGTTCACATGCGCTGGGAGACCGTGGGGGGAAGAGGGGGGGGGGCCGGGAGAGTGTGGGAGGGCTGCCCTCACTGACCTCTTGGTGCCCACCCGGTTGTTGGGCGCGATGTCGATGGAGTCTGTGGTCGAGTCGTGTCGCACGGCGAGGCCCAGGTCTGCGATGCAGCACGTGCGGTTCCGCTTCACCAGGATGTTCTTGGACTTGATGTCCCGATGGGCGATGGCCGGCTTCCCTGCGCACGCAACGCCACGCACAGCGCCACCTCAATGCTCTCCCCTTCTGAAACGCCCGTTGACGTGACGACACCTGAATGCATTCTCGTTTCAGAGACGTCTGCAGGCTGCAGGGTGGGCGTTCTGTTCACCGCCGAATCTCGGAACGCGCAAGCGGTTACCGTTAATTTTGCCTAGAGGGGCATAGCGCAGTTGTTTTGAAAGATATCGGACTAATTTTGGTCTAATTTTGAAGGGAAATTATTGCTTTTCATGCAGATATGAAAATTTCAATATATATAAAAAAAATTGCGCAAAAAATAGTGGTTAAATTACGTAATGACACAACCACACCGCAGAGAATGATAGCGACATGACCGCACCCTACGATAGCTGGTGCCAAACTGAGCCACTCAGCCTCCTGCATGGCCTTGTGGGAGCCTCGGTACATCTTCATGCCAGATGATGTAATGATATATATTTTATTATTTTTATATCAATATTTTACTTCCATTAAGGAACAAGTATGTAAATAGCAATGGGAAAGAGTTAACTGTCATGCAAAAATACAAATATTTTTGCATTTCAATTGACTTCAAACCATTAAAACGTTACCATTACGTCGAAGGAAAACACAGCTACAGCATGCGTGTTTTGTTTCAATGTGTTACAGCTAAACTATAGCTATTTCAGAACCATTTTACAAGCTGTGTTTCATAAATAATTCCCACAACGTCAGTCACTTTGCCATGATGCCACCAGGAATCTTTCTGCACTGTGACACAACCCGGCAACTGCCACTTAATGCCGCTTGTTCCTTCCCTCCGGAACCTCCGATTAGCACGGTTGGCTCCGTACGATGCGCGACGAAGTTCGACATGAGTGTATACAAAAGCTTGTGAAATATAAGCCATTCATTTGTACCAAAAACTATGCATTTACAAAGTGAATTTTGGAATTCAATGTCTTTATGACTGCATGTAGGGACACAAACACGTTGAACAATCGAGACAAACCGATTCGCAAGTGACGCACTTTAAATGAATGTTTTGACGGAATACTGATCGAGGGTTTTATAACAAGTAGTTTTGAAAATGTAATAACAAAAGATGAGACAATGCACCTCAATTTGCCAATTTTACAAATAACCTCCTTTCACAACATTCAAAAAAATCCCACAACCTACTTCATGGCTCACAACAAAACAATTTGGCAATTAATTTGCGAGACTGTTAAGGGCACCGATATGAGCTTCCGTGAGACCACAATCATAGCGAACATAAAACCTCCTCTTCAAAATCGCTCTGACACACACGTAATTTAATGAATCCAATAACCCAATGAATGACAGTGTGCATGCGAGCCATTTGGCAAATACAGCAGTGACATGCACAAGCTGGGCCCCCTTCCAGGGAAAAAGAGTTACCAAAGCAAACACAAACACAGGTGGCCGAAGAAGCACTTCCCGCTCCCCCCCATGTGTTTTTCGACTTGTTCCACCACGTTGTCCAACGTTTCGCTCCCAAACGTAGGGAGAAAAAAGTCAATTCGGTTTTCCGAAAAAGCTCCCAGCACATGGAATGAGACGTTTGACATTGCGAAAACCAGCGCTCTTACCCTGCGTGCCAACGATATCCATGTGAAGGTGGGCCAGGCCGCTGGCCACAGACAGCGAGAACTTGACGAGCTCTTCCACCGACAGACTGAAGCGATTCAGGTAGTCAAAGAGTGAGCCCAGCTCATGGTAATCGGACACCAGCCACAGCTGCGTCCATGTCCCGTTGTCTGTGGAAATACCAAAAGGGCAAGAGATTCCCCGCAATAGGCCCTTTAACAAGACTGTTTGAGCCAGTGTTGGTAGCGAGCACACCTATTAAGGCCAACGCGGCACACCGGCTCCTTTAATACTCTCCCATGCCGACCTTTACACACCGCACCGGGTACTCGTTTAAGGCTGAGTCGACCTAGGGGAGGTCCAGCATCGGTTCAAATAATCATCACTGGTGTTGGCCATAAAGCAGGAATCAAACTCAGATCGCCACTGGGCCACCACTCCCCACACACAACACGTGAGCAAACTTTGGCAAGACAAAGTTAAACCAAACATCACTAATCCTATCAAAAATAAAAAGTGTCACCTCGCTCAAAGCAGCATGGTTATACGGTCCAATTGTCATGCAAAATCCAGAGCCGTTGGTTAAAATTTCAAACGTTTGCCGCAGAGGCTGACCTACCCATACGATCAACATCCAACTTTCCACAACGCCGTACGAAACTGGACGGTTAATTTCCAGGGTGGATGTGTGATGGTCAGATATGCAACGTTGCACCGTATCACACAAAACACTGACGTGTGAGGAAACATGGCTTTGTGTAGGTGGGGGGCGGGGGGGGGGGGGGGATGGTGTGTGGGGAGTGCGGGGGGTTGCGGAGGCCAGGTCACCCTTATTGTCGGCGGCGATGAAGCCCAGGATGTTCTCGTGGCGCAGCATGACTGTCTGGTAGATCTCGGCCTCGCGGAACCACGAGCGCTCCTCGCGCGACGAGAAGATCTTGACGGCGACGTCCTCCCCGCGCCACCGGCCGCGCCACACCTCGCCGAAGCGGCCCTTGCCGATGCTGTCCTGCAGCATGATCGTGCGCGCGATGGTGCGCTGCACCAGCAGCGGCAGGCCTGCGCGCGGGGTGCAGCGGCGTTTGCGTTGGCGTGCGGGAACTTCGGCCGGGTGTTGGGTACATCGATTCCCTCGCAGCAGGGAATCATTTGCGAGCGCAGGGCAGGGCGAGCGCATCGAAACATTTCAGTGGCATGACCCCCACCATATTCAGTTTCAGTGGCCAAATGTAATAAGCACTTGTGTGTGAACCAAACCCCAGCAGGGCACGTGTATCTAGCTGTGGTGGGGTGGGGGGTGGCGGGGAGAAATGCGGGCACAGGGCGGGCACTCGGGCAAGCCAAGATTCCCTCTACTGAGCCCCGTTAATCTTATCACTCTAACAAAAGCTGATATTTGCAGGGACTGAAGCGGCTTGGGTCGTACAAAGGCAGCATTTCAAAACATGCCCGGGTCACAGCGTGATAAAAGCGCTCACCTCACACCAGATTCAGGGGTCATCTCAGCCCATCATCCTGCTAGGGTAGATAAATGCCAGTTTGCGGGGCAGCAGCAGCAGCAGCGGGTATTTATATAGGGCCGCTGGTCCTGACCAACAGAGATGAGCACTACCCAAAGCTAAACTAGAATGGAGACTCGCACATTGTGTTAGAAAGATGAGGTTACCTTTGGTTAGTGTTTTTAGTTGATTGGCAGTGTGCGTGTCGTGCGATAGTGTGGGTACTCCAACCTCTTTTCGAGACGCCCGACCATCGTGGTAGACAAGGCCCAAAAAATCCCAGAGGGGGGGGGGATTTCTCGAGCTCCCTTTTGTGGGGGCCCCGAAGCCGTAAGTGGCCTGAGTGGGCAATTGCACGGATGTACCTTTACGACGTTTTAGAAAGTGCAACAGTTGTGCATACCAGAGCCTGAGCCGGTGGTGGTGTTGTCGTAGAGGTCACGGATGCTCGTTCCCTCGTCGATGAACACCTGCTCCAGCGGCAGCGGCTCCTTGGTGTGCAGCGGCACGTGCAGGGCCCTACGGGTACCCCGGTGTCCCCGAAGGATGCACAGGCCGGCCGTGACAAGCAGGCAGAGCAGGCAGGCCGGCACCCCCACTGCCACCACCATCTCCAGCGGCCCAAATTCCGAGTCGGCCTCACGCTCTTCTGGGAAACGAGCAACATTGAAATCAAAGTGGCCAAAACAAAACAACTGTTGAAGGAGTAATGTTTTGGGGATTTGCCGTTAAGGCAAGGGCTTTGAAATCTCCCAGTTAGTGCTATACAAACCACAAACAAACGAAACGCAGGCTGGGATTAGGTTTTAAATCAACAAGCCTTTCCCTCAAAAGACACAGCTCTTAATCTCTTAGCCTCCCCTGTTGTTTAAATTAACATCCCCTATTCCTCTGACAAATTCAGCAGCCCCCATTCCCCAGGCCAGACACCACTGGTTTAGAGACAGCACTGTATGAATCCCTTTATGTGGAGGCATCTTGATACGGATGACTGCAGCCATGGCAACAATGTATTCGCTTTAGCTCACTATAAACGTTCACGCGACATTGATAAAACAAACTAAAATAAAAAATATATATTAACTTACAACCCATCGAATAGCTGTGCTTTTGTAACTGGAAAAGTTTTGAATTTCAAATACGTTGGCTTCATGGAAACCATTTGTGTGGAAGTCACGAATAAAATAAGAGAGAACAGTTGCGAGAAATGGGCCTCATTAGTCACCGGCGAGAAGGGAAAGCCAAGATATAAAAACTTGGGTATCAGCGCGGACGGTCAAAAGACTCTGCGCATTTGAAGTACAGTACAGCGACTATATTTGAAGCCATGTGATACGGAAACTGCCCGAGGGCTATTCACTGACACCGTCAGTTTGGTCCACGAGAACACCCACCGGCTGGGTCCGACAGGCTCAGGTCGACGTCGTTACAGAAGTCGGTGTTGCAGCAGCGCGTTCTGCTTGGCGGGGCCGAGCGGGCGCAGAAGAACGGCCGGTCGGGTGGCTGCAGGTCACGTGCCGGGATGCACACTCGTATGTACGCCATCCCGTTGTCCGGGGTGTGCGTGACGGACACGAGGCAGAGGCCGTCGGTCTCGCACGTGAAATTGCTGCGCGCACACAGCTGGCACACGCAGCGCAGGCCTGGGAGGAGGCGCGCACGCGCACACACACGCGCAAGCACACTAAGGCAAAGATCCCCCGTGTAGCCTTCACCAGACTGTTGGGGCAAGTGCTGTTAGCGAGCAGCACCTGTGAAGGCCGCCACGGCACACGAGCGGCTGGGGTGGCCAGCACCGCGCCCCGACCGCATTTGTCTCCACAGTGGCGATGTTTACACACCGCACCAGGTACTCATGGAGGCACAAAACAAAGACAAAGGCCCCCCGTATAGCCTCAACAGACTGTAGGGGCAAGTGCTGTTAGCGAGCACCTACGAAGGCCGGAACGGTACACGAGGGGGTGGGTGGCCAGCACCACGCCCGACCGCCTTTGTCTCCCTAGTGGCGATGTTTACACACCGCACCAGGTACTCATTTGAGGCTGAGTCGACTCATGGAGGCACACACACGTGTACACCTGCACATTACAAGGGAATGAGACTTGAGGCTGCTTCCGGGGACTGCCACACTCACATTGTGATTCTTGTTTATACCAACCAAACATTGTTGCCATTTGAAAGACTTTTGTGTTCGAGTTAAACTTTAATCCACACGTCCTGTGAAGGCAAGTTGGAAGTGTTTATTGGACTGGTGGACGATGACATTTCTTGAGTTTAAAATGTTTACCTTTTTATGGGAATGAAAAGTGTAGATCCATTTCTTATCAGTATAAAATTACTTTTATTTCACAAACGTATAATCATCGACTCCAATAACTATTTTTTTCAGAATCATAACAACAAAATTAAACAAATTAAAATTGCATTTCGTGCTGCGTGTACTTTTAAAGGCTACGTCAAAGCATCCAGTACTGTACGATGTGTCTGACGTCCAGTGTTTTTATCGGGAAAATCTGCACGTGAAGATTAGTCTATGCAACCAGAATGTGCGGTAAATTCCGACATTGCCTGGTGTTTGAGCACGGTGGGCGCATTTAAGAGAACAGTCTGCGCACGCTGGCTAAAACCTACCACCGCTGGAATTGACTTCACAAGCGTGATACTACTGTTTCGCCAGGCCCGAATTCAATGTGCCTCTATGCGAAAAAGCAGGTCTTAGATGGTTGCATGGCTGCATTTGGTGGTCCCGAGTTAAGCGATGGAAATTTCCCATTCCCGTGATGCAGGCCGGTTTTATGAATTTGATTAGCACTATACTCTTTGGTTCTTTCGGTAAAGTCGCGTAGGTAGAAAAAAAAAATTCCGCAGTCACGAAAGCTTCAAATCAAGATTGATAAGCACCGTTGACTCGGTGGGGGTGGGGGGAATAAATGGGGCACACACACACACCGATGTAGCTATTCGCCCAAAGTTAAATTCAAATAAGGATACGGACATGAATAAGTAGCCAATTTACAGACTTGGCGTTTAGGATAACGTTCAACACTGCAGGTGTATGCAATCTCTTTACTAAAAGACATACATTATTCAAATCGAAGACTATTTCAGGCAGAGTAAACAGTGTTATATATTTTGTTGCGTAGTACTGTATATAGAAAACAGCCACATCTCCAACCAGCTTTGCTTGCACCTCGGTTACTATTCATTGCATTTAAATAGAAAACATTAAAACGTTGCCCTTGTGTGCACTCTTATGGGAGCACGGCTTTTGATGAATCGCTCGCCCGCCCACCCGCAATATGCAGGGGCCATCTCACGCGAGTTATTAATACTCAGCGTGCCCTCACAAGCCCACCGACACACTGGTGGGGCATGCATGGACTAACACACAGGGGCAGACATGGGCAGTACACACACGCAGGCACAGGGTGTGGGTAAGCGTGCACGAATACACCGGGGGCATGCATGGACTGAGACACAGGTACGTGCATCGCCAAACGCACAGGGCAAGGGTGTGGTGAAACGCGGTGGATACAACGAGGAGAGGGATATGACAACTTTGACACAACTGGTAAGAGACATTAGGGCCACAAGCGCCGAGAGCGTCACAATGAGGGTGGTGGTGGTGGAGGGCACGAAAGTTCAAACACGGCGGTGATCACACGCAAATCGGGGTGGGGGTGGAGGGAGAAAACCACAGGGAGACAAACACCGTGCGACAAAACGGAGCCACCCTCGCTGGCTGGCTGGCTCACTGGCTGGCTGGCTCGCTGGCTGGCTCACTGGTTGGCTGGCTCACTGGCTGGCTGACTGGCTGACTCGCAGGCTGGCTCACTGGTTGGCTCGCTGGCTGGCTGACTGGCTGGCTCGCTGGCTGGCTGGCTCACTGGCTGGCTGGCTCACTGGCTGACTCACTGGCTCACTGGCTGGCTCACTGGCTGGCTCGCTCGCTGGCTCACTGGCTGGCAATCGCGGATGCGATGCTGGAGGCCGTCAACACCTCGCACCACGGGCAGAGCTGATGCGGCCAAATAGACGTCGTCTCCAACCGGCTCCGTGTATGTCGCGCACGCACGCGTGTGAGAAGCATGCGTGTGAGAAGCACGCGTGTGAGAAGCATGCGTGTGAGAAGCACGCGTGCGTACGTTCCTGTAGCGCTGAACTTCTTTCACGCCGCACGTAGCCAACCGTGCTAATCGGAGGTGCGGGGGAAGTTCTAACTGAACTCAACACGAAAATGCAGTTTGAACGGAGTTTTTACTCTATCTAGATGTGCGTGTGTGTGTGGAATTCGTTAAGTGTGTGTGCGAAGAGGCCTTACTTAATACACACGCGGTATTGTTTATGCTTGGGGGTTTGTGACAGCTATGCATACGACGAATGTGTTCGCCAAGCCTATCTATGTGTATAAGTATGCGCTTGAGTGTACGTTCTGGAGTCTGTACGAGTGTAGGGACATCGCTGGATTCTAGATTTGAAGTTTTCGTGACTGCAAGGATCCATATTCTTTGGTTCTTTCGGTAAAGTCACGCAGGTGAAACAAATAAAATAAATGAAATCACGACGTTTCGATTGCAACACAAGCAATCATCATCAGGTGCAACACAAGCAAGCATCATCAGGTGTGGTTGTCACACCTGATGATGATTGCTTGTGTTGCAATCGAAACGTCGTGATTTAATTTATTTTATTTTTTTCACCTACGTGACTTTACCGAAAGAACCAAAGAATATAGACATCGCTGGATGTCAACGTGCAGTGCCGGCCCCTACAGGACAGGGTGTGTGGATGCCGGCCGAGGGATGAGGTTACTAAAGGCCATGGCACTCTGGTTGACCCGGGAGGACACGTGACCGGTCAACTCTACAAAGGGGCCCCAAGTGGTGGCTGGGGGTGGTCACGTGGTTGGGACCCAGATCCTTGCCGAGGGATCTGGAAGGTGGTCGTGGCCAAATGCGGAGCCGGCCACGACGCAGAGACGATAAGCCGGGTCCCGAGAGGGACCGGGGTTGTTGTTGTTCATCCTGGAAGAAACCCTTCGTCTACGTTCTCCGTTCAACGAGTCTCCAACACGTGGACCCGGACCCAAGCTGTTGGTCCCGGTCTGTAGTAGCAGTTACGTTGTAACTAGTGTGGTGGTCACCAGGCTAACTACACGTGGTAACTAGTGTAGTTAGCCTGGTGGTCACCACCCAGTTAACTACACCAGCCACGTGGTAACTAGTGTAGTTAGCCTGGTGGTCACCACCTGGATAACTACACCAGTTACATAGTAACTAGTGTAGTTAGCCTGGTGGTCACCACCACAGGTTGTTATTCTGTTAAGGGGAAAGTTACCCCGTGTGTTGGAGTTAAATAAATGTGTTGCCTCCAAGTCTACGTCTGCGACTCAGTTGAACCCATTACACGAGTATGTTTGTAGGTGTTGGGGTTTGTGTGAGTATGTATGAGCTCGTGTGTGTGTGTACGAGTCGGTCAACCCATGGCACCTGGATCTTTCCCGTGAGCTGTTGCCAGCGAGCGTTCGACACTAAAACCTTATGGCGGGACCCCGGGATTCCGAATAAACGGAATTCAAAATCGTAATTGATGAATTTATTTTTGGCGACTCCACCCCACCGCGCACATAAACGCCGCGACCCGCCTGGCACGGATCACTCTGTTGTCGTGTCGTCCAATCGCAGCAGCGAGGACGAATGCACAGAAGAAACAAAACTTTGATTAGTGCATCGTGTAGAGCTCGTCGAGAGGAATAGATCGCCGTGTCGGTCGCCTTCAACAGGCATAAAATGACGTCCCAACGCAGTTTACGCGAGGGTCGGAGGCTTATGAGACCCCGGGGTCCCGCCATGAGGTTCACTTCACATGGCCTTAAAGTGCACTTAGCCTGGCACAAGCCCCGTGGGTGACATCGCCGCCACATAGGTGGCGAACGGCGGTTGTTTTTGGGAGTCTATGCGCGTGTCTATATATTGACACATACACACGTGTTCTAGGTCTGGGTGCAGCATGCATGGGCAGAGCAGTGCGTGTGTTGTGGTTTATTGCACTCGGCGCGCAACGAACCCGGCACCATTCCCAAATTCGATCCCAGCAGGGCCACGATTAAACCCTCAAGCGGTGAAGCCACTGACGCGGCCGCTTGAAAGACAAATGCCCAGCAAGGCCAGATTCTGGCCCCATGCATGGAAACCCCCAAAACCTCACGCGTGTCGTTGTGACCTTAGAATGGGTTGCTTCCTAACAGCGCCTCTAACTCAAACGTTCTTCACGCGACGGGGAGGGAACCTTCGTATTTTTGACTGCGGGATTGAATGCACTATGCTGAAGCAATCTGGCAATAAGGCTCGGTGCTGTTGTATATCCTACGACCGAGTGGTGTGATGATGTCGGCGAGTGTTTGCACGTGTTTGAGAACGCGCACGTGTTTGAGAACGCGCACGTGGGCGTGCGGCGAGACATGTGGAGGCAAGATTGTGGGCGATCAGTGCAATCTATTTGTTTAACCGCCACAGCAAAGCACTTGCCCAAAAAACGCCGAACAACAAGTAGACGCGCAGTCACCGTTTGTACTGCAGCGGCTACGAGTTGAATTGAGCAACGGTTATCATCGAGCAATGTGGGAAGGAGACGATGGGACGGGAATTCCAATGGGTGAGCAGCAGTGGCAACGAGGTGAGGGCGCAGAAAGAGAAGCGACGTGACATCCAATGAACGAGAGCGTACGAGTGGGTGGGACGAGTGAATGTTTGATTGTGACCTGCAATAGTGCGGGTTTGTTCAGCGCGGTGGCGTAGGAAGTGAACCAGGCGACCCACGTGTCTAACGTCGGTGTTGACGAGCGATAGATTTGGCCATGCGTTGCGAGTCGTGTCCCAGGGCGTACAGGACCACCGTCGTCTGCGCTGCTCCATATGGAGAAGGGGAAAGTAAAACAAAAAGCACGCAAACTCTCTCCCGAAAGCCCTCCCGCGGCGCACAGAACCCTCCACATGCCCGAACCACATCGCTGCCATCAGGCGCAAGACTGGCAACCAAGCCCGCATTGGTCAGCGCGAAGTGTGCTCAAACCACGGCGTCCTCTATCTACTGCTGGATGGGGAATGGTTTAGATCGTGTTTTACTAATATTGTGATTGAGTCAATGGTCCACGTGTATGGGAGTGAGCCTATGTGTTTTGCGTTGCACTGCGCTAGCGTAGTCGACTCCTTATGAGTGAATGTATTTGAACCACTTAAGAGCGGATGAGTGGGGGTTTGGTCTGCCCTGCGGTCCAGAGGGTGGGAGTGGTGGCGCAGCGGTTAGCGCACTGCGTTAGGAATCCTGCAACCTCAGCTCGATTCCCGGCCCCGGCTAACACGAGCGATATCGGTAAGTACGTACCAACGCACTAGATATATTGTTGGTAGGTGCAAGGGACCACCAGTGGCTCGCCACCACTCAGCTCGACACGCGGTGTGCGCGCTTTTAAAACCTCCAAATGAAAGGCGATGAATGAACAAGCTAGCAAGGGAGAGGAGAGAGAGGAGGACCCCCCAACCGCGCCTCCTCCTCCTCTTCCTCCTCCTCTCCTCCTCCTCGCAACGACATCAGAGCACGTGCGAGTGTGGCGGTTTCGCTCGATACACAACCGCGCGTCCACCACACAGACACACAGTCACACAGACATACAGTCACACAGACACACAGTCACAGAGATACACAGATACACAGACACACAGTCACACAGACACACAGTCGCACAGACACACACAGTCACACAGACACACAGTCACACAGATACAGAGACACAGTCACACACACAGTCACACAGATACACAGACACGGATACACAGACACAGAGTGGGACAGTCACACAGACAGACACACAGTCACACAGTCAGACACACAGACACAGACAGTCACACAGATACACAGTCACACAGATACACAGTCACACAGACAGACACACAGTCACACAGACAGACACACAGTCAGACACACAGTAACACAGACACACACTCACACAGACACACAGTCACAGAGACACACAGTCACACAGACATAGTCACACAGACACAGTCACACAGTCACACAGCCAGACACACAGTCACACAGACACACAGTCAGACACACAGTCACACAGACACACAGTCACACAGACACACAGTCAAACAGACACACAGATACAAAGAGAGACACACAGTCACACAGACACACAGTCACACAGACACACAGATACACAGAAAGACACACAGTCACACAGACAGTCACACAGACACACAGATACACAGACACACAGTCACACAGTCACACAGACACAGTCACACAGACAGACAGACACACAGTCACACAGACACACAGACACACAGTCACACAGATACACAAACAGACACACAGTCACACAGACACACAGACAGTCACACAGGCACACAGACAGACACACAGTCAGACACACAGTAACACAGACACACAGTCACACAGACACACAGTCACAGAGACACACAGTCACACAGACATAGTCACACAGACACAGTCACACAGTCACACAGCCAGACACACAGTCACACAGACACACAGTCAGACACACAGTCACACAGACACACAGTCACACAGACACACAGTCAAACAGACACACAGATACAAAGAGAGACACACAGTCACACAGACACACAGTCACACAGACACACAGATACACAGAAAGACACACAGTCACACAGACAGTCACACAGATACACAGACACACAGTCACACAGTCACACAGACACAGTCACACAGACAGACAGACACACAGTCACACAGACACACAGACACACAGTCACACAGATACACAAACAGACACACAGTCACACAGACACACAGACAGTCACACAGGCACACAGACAGACACACAGTCACACAGGCACACAGACAGACACACAGTCACACAGACACACAGTCACACAGATACACAAACAGACACACAGTCACACAGACATACAGTCACAAAGACAGACAGTCAGACAGACACACAGTCACACAGACACACAGACACACAGGCACACAGACAGACACACAGTCACACAGGCACACAGACAGACACACAGTCACACAGACACACAGTCACACAGACACACAGTCACACAGATACACAGACAGACACACAGTCACACAGACACACAGACAGACAGTCACACAGACACACAGTCACACAGACACACAGTCACACAGACACACAGACACACAGTCACACAGGCACACAGACAGACACACAGACACACAGACAGACAGTCACACAGACACACAGACACACAGACACACAGACACACAGTCACACAGACACACAGACAGTCACACATACACACAGTCACACAGGCACACGCACAGACACACAGTCACACAGACACACAGATACACAGACAGACACACAGTCACACAGACAGACACACAATCATACAGACAGACACACAGTAACACAGACACACACGACACACAGTCACACAGACACACAGAGTCACACAGACACAGTCACACAGACAGACACACAGTCACACATACACACAGATACACAGACAGACACACAGACACACAGACAGTCACACAGACACACAGACAGACACACAGTCACACAGACACAGACAGATACACAGACAGACACATAGACAGACACACAGTCACACAGACACACAGACAGTCACACAGACACATAGACAGACACACAGTCACACAGACACACAGACAGACACACAGACAGACAGAAACACAGACAGACACACAGACACACAGACAGACACACAGACACACAGACAGACACACAGACAGACACACACACAGACACACAGACACACAGACAGACACACAGACAGACACACAGACACACAGACAGACACACAGACACACAGACAGACACACAGACACACAGACACACACACAGACAGACACACAGTCACACAGACAGACAGACACACAGTCACACAGACACACAGACAGACACACAGTCACACAGACACACAGACAGACACACAGTCACACAGACACACAGACAGACACACAGTCACACAGACACACAGACAGACACACAGTCACACAGACACACAGACAGACACACAGACACAGTCACACAGACACACAGTCACACACACACACAGACACACAGTCACACAGACACACAGACAGACACACAGTCACACAGACACACAGACAGACACACAGTCACACAGACACACAGACAGACACACAGACAGACACACAGACAGACACACAGACACACAGTCACACAGACACACAGACAGACACACAGACACACAGACACAGTCACACAGACACACAGTCACACAGACACACAGACAGACACACAGACACACTGAAGCACGCTCCCTCGCTTCGACCGTACGGACGACGACGCTGCTACTGCTGCCCCTACCGCCACCTCCTCCACCTCGTCGTCCCGCCATGTCCTCCGCACACACCGGGGGACAGATACAGAGGGTGACGGGGGGGTGGGTGCCCCTTCGCAGCAGCAGCAGCACGTACCTGTGGCTGGCTGTAGGAGGCATGCGATAGACGCGAGACTCAGGGCGGCCAGGACTGGCGGGCCGGACGGGCAGGAGGCCCGCGGGCCCTGGAGGCCACAGAGCCGCCGCCACCACCACCACCTCTTGGCCATGCCGCGTGGCCGCTGTGCAGTGCCCGAATCAGCTGGGTCCCCCCTCCCCCCCTATTCACCGCCGCGACTGCTTCCGCGGGGATGAGCCGAGCAGGCGGAGGGATACGACTCTGTGGCCCCCCCCCTTAACCCCCCTCCCCTCCCCCACCTCCACCCCCCTGCAGCGTCGGCCCCGCCCCTTCAATTTCCCCAACTTTGTGTTCTTTGGGTCAATCTTGATGTGAGGCTTTCGTGACTGCAGGAATCCAAAATCTTTGGTTCTTTCGGTAAAGTCACGTAGGTAGGTTCAAATTAATTTAAAAAAAATAAGAAACCACGATCACAACACAAGCGATCGACCATCGGGACGATCGCTTGTGTTGTGAACGAAACGTCGTGGGTTTTGTTAATTTTATGGGGTTTTTTTATTCATTTGAACCCATCTACGTGACTTTACCGACAACAACGAAGGAATATTAATTCCTGCAGTCACGAAAGCTTTAAGTCAATATTTCCCAAACCTTGTTTGAAATCCAAAGCGGGGAATTTCAGCAGACGCCGTTACTCTAGCGGCTTTATAAGACACTCGGGGGGGTAAGAGAGAGAGAGAGAGATAGCGAGACGCTGCCAAGTGACACGAATCTTGCCGCCACTAACCAGCAAAACCGACGGGGATGTCACCGCGGTGCCCCGTGCCAGGCTAGGTGCACTTTGAGGCCGCGTCGCGGTGTCGCGAGGCAATGCGGTCACACGTGCGCGCAAACAAACAACCCCACCGGATTACAAAATCATTGATGCCCACCGCCGCCCCCCTGGGTATTTCAAAGCAAACGTTGGGAGTGCGTCTTGTTATCCGGTAGGTGTGTGCGTGTGTGCGTGTTTATATGGCACTACGAACCTGGCCACCTGGGTTCGACTTCCCGCTCACGGTCCAACAACAATCTGCACCGGTTCGGGGCCCTCCTCCCCCGAGGTCGACTCAGCCTCAAGTGAGCACCTTGGTGCGGTGTCGTATAAAGCAATCGTCACTGGGGGAGACAAAGGCGGTCGGGCGTGGTTGCTGGCCACCCTCGTGTGCCGTGCCGGCCTTTATAGGTGCTACCCGCTAATAGCACTTGCCCCAACAGTCTGTTGAAGGCTATACGGGTGATCTTTGTTTTATATGGCGTTCTCGGCCAGCCGGGGACGCACGTGATATAATTCACGCAAGCGACGTTTCATGAACACGTAGTTGCACTGCTGGACGTCTGTCAATAAAAGAATAGCTTTAAAGCGCATCGGATTCCTCCAGCGAAACGTGCTGCTGTTGTGTGATTAGTAAATAATAAATACGCCCCTAATCTCGTGCTCATCAAACAAAACCCACACAATCACCCCCTCCTCCTCCTCCATCCATCTCGTCCTCTTGACCAAACAAACCATGCCTCCCATCCCCTCCCCTCCCTGAAGCCCCCTCATCACTATCAATGCCCGCGCCCAGGGAGGGCACTTTTTCTCTCTTCCACGGAGCTGGCGAGGTGTCTAGAAGACCCCGGACTCTCCCCCCACCCACCCCATTGTGACCACCGACGACAGCCTTGCACAACAGGATGTCACACCCCCTAATCTCAATGGCCAGCTCTTGTCGTCTCAACAACCCAGCTCTTTTTAATGCGGACAAAACGGCGGTTCTCTGTAAAACCCACGAGATGCCTATCTGGCCCGATGTTGTTAGGTCCATGATACCCTCAAAAGCCCCTTTCACCTCACACACACTTATCACTATAAAAGTACTTTGCTTTATTTGACGGACAGGTGAAGTGGATAATGCTAGTCATCTCGGCCAAACCCATAACACTCGGGACCTGGGTCTGACCCGTGGCCTCGCCACAGAGCACTGGAAGCTTCACGTGGCCTCAAAGTGCACCTGGCCTGGCACAGGCGCTGTGGTGGCATTGGCACTTGGTGGCGAATGGCGACTGTGATGGTGTCACCATAGAAGGTAAATTGTAAACCACCTAAACCAGTCCGTGGATATGGTGCAAGATCGCTAGCATGGAATTTGGTGTCGGGAGGTGAACAGGGTAATGGATGTGATGAAAAGTGATCGAGCCATGATGGCCACAAGTGTAGTATGACTTCATACAAACAATAACCTTTGGTGAAAGCATATGAAACGAATCTGCCCATATTTGTTGCAGTGCTAGCGATGGAGAAGTATGCTCACACAGCCATTATAAAACAGCCCTCCCCTATCGTGTGGGGGAGGCCTTTGTCAAGTAGTGGAATTACAAATGCATGTGTATACTGTACTATACAATACTGCAGAATTTGCGCTATCCTTATCCCAGTGTTTAAACATATTTAGAGCTTTTCGATTTAAAGTTTTCGTGACTTCTGGGTTCTTTCAGCAAAGTCACGTAGTGACCAGAAGATATTTAGAGCTGTGTCATTGTTGCATGTGCTGGATGTAGATGTTTGTAAACGCAAATAGTCTGCACTATATTATTTCATATTACACTGCAGTTCATTTCACTTCATAAAGCCATGGATTATGGAGAGGCGAGTGCTATGGGCTTGAAGTTCAGCCTATCAGTCAGAAAAGCCTCTTAGTACATTTGGTATTCGCACCATTTATGTGACCCAGGGCTTAAACGAAGGCGCTATTTCAGACGGATATCGCCTACCATTAACGGCGTGCGACAAATCCATACAAAACTTCAACAGCACCATCCTTCACCGTGTCTTATCGCTACAAAGTAAATTAATTAACTTCCAACGACACCGTTTAAAGTTTCAGGGCGCAAATCCTCACCATTGGCAGCTGTACCCGTGCGGCTCCGAGCTTAGCGATGGGCATCATTCGTCTGCCAAGGAGGGAGGAGCAATTAAAGCTTTGCTCGTAATTTGTTGGTATGTTTTTTTAATGTTTGCAAATTTGAACTGAGATTTCATCATTTATGTTTTTTTTATATTATTATAACCGACTAGTCAAATTTAGAAACACGCATGGAGATTATTTAGATTCTAGATTTGAAGCTTTCGTGACTGCAAGGATTCATACTCTTTGGTTTTTTCGGTAAAGTCACGTAAAAAATTCAATAAAATAAATGAAAACAACTAAATTAAATCACTTGTCTCCCCATTATTTTATTGTTTTTTTTACCTACGTGACTTTACCGAAAAAAACAAAGAGTATTATTTAGATTATTTTGGCGCTATAAATGTCAAAATGACGGGCCACTTTGTTGAGCTATCATTGGTGGCCAGGTCGCTTCTGAAAAAAAAAGTGAATACCTCAGGGGGTTTTGCCTGCTAGGATGGGGATGACTTAGTTTAATTTGTTTGTGTTTGGGCGACTTGTTTACGTTTCATGTTCTTTGCACTACAGTCATGCTTTTGTCCTGTGTGTTGTTGTAACGTTCAAACCCGCCCCTACTAGACATCTCTGAAAAAAGAGATTCATAGCTCATCGGATTTCTCCGGTATAAATATGCTGATTCTGATACATGATGCATATTTAAATGCGACTGGTGCTGGCTCGCAACAGTCCTGTGGGATAATGACATGGACATAGAGTCATTTGAATAACGTGGGATGCACCCTGATCACATTCGACAGGTGAAGTGTGTTCAGATTGACGAGTCCTGGGATTGCTAAAGTGCAGTTCTCTAGGCCGCACGTGGCACTCAGTTTAAATGCCTTAATTGCGAAATTATATACAGAGAGAACGCTCTGACGCATGCCACCACTCCCGATTCGCAAACTGCTATAGTAGATGGAGATGCATTATGGGACGCCACAAATTACGCTGCCGCTGTCCATTGCGTTGAACAATACAAACAAGTGCTCCGTACCCTACCTTGTTGTATTCGGATCGCTCAAGCTTTACAAAACGTATTGTTATATCACGCAGAACGTATGCATCTACGTATTCGGTGGGCACCACAGTGAACAGACACGACTAGTAGTCATAAGTAGAGACCGGGTTCCATCACATCTGTGGGGGCCGACGCCCGCCTCCCCTCTCCCTGTGAGCGGGCGGGGCGCGACGTCCACCCCCCCCCCCTCCTCGTCGGCCGCCTCTCGCCGGGCCCCCCGCCGATCGGGTGATCGCCCCCCCCCGCACCAGCGCCAGCTCTCTGAGGGACATGGCGAAGTGGCTGGCTCACCACCGCCCGGGGTTATCTCGCACACGCCCACGTACACCACCACACAAGCAAACGCGGAGGCGTGCACGCGCTTATTCCGCGCAAAGGGGCCGTCCATAAATGACGTCAGGCACCTAGGGTGGGGGGGGGGGGTTAGACATTTGTGACGATGTGTGACGAGGGGGGGGGGGGGGGTTGAGAAATGTGACGTCACATGAGAATGTGCAATTTAAATAAATATAAACAACACGTTCTACTTTATTCAATAGACTTTTTAATAAATGTTTTCTCCTACAACATCAGAGTGCAGCGCCACATTAAATGCGCTCTACAATGACAATAGTTTAAAGCGATTTGAAGCATGTTTTATTTTAAAAAAGGAAATATGGTTTTGGGGGGGGCAGAGCTTTGTGGGGGGTCTGACTTTTTGTGAAGCCGTGTGACAAGGGCGGGGGGGGGGGGTCAAAAATCGTCCACCCCTCCGGGTGGCTAAGCCCTAATTCGCACCACACAAAGGCTAATGCAAAAGGGCTGCATGAATTTGCGCGCACGCCTCTCCGTTAATGCTATTGTCGCTGTGTAAACACGCTGTGTAAACGCTGGCGAGCGGGTTTATCGCACCCACCCTAATTACTCAAGCGGCACACTGCAGGCGCTCGTGTTTCACACACGCGCACGTAAACACGCTCAAATTACCAGCACTGCGCCGACGTTCCCCCCCACACACACAGAAATCACACTCTACCGATCCTCTGAACTAAAGTTTATTACCGGTACAAATACATTCTACCTGGGGGGGGGGGATATTTTGCGGGAAGAGCTTAGCCTAACTCTGCCTTCGAACCCAGTTGCTCAAACATCCTACCACGTACCTCGAAGCTGTACTCACGGAGTCCCACGGACGCCGAGAGAGTCGGAGGGAGAAGGATGAGAGAAGACTTGACCTATCACTGTCTCGCAGCAGCACTCGCTGGCATCACACGGATG